TACTCTGTGAACGCCCTGATATCGTTCGCTTGAGAAATAATTTTCTCAGGGTTATAAAGAAGAAGCGCGAGGAAGGGTTCGAGCCAGTGTACTTGGACGAGACCTGGGTCAATGCCTCGCACACTGCCAGCAGTCAGTGGGTACCCGATGGGGGTGATAAGGGGTCACGTAGAAAGCTGCCTCTAGGGAAAGGAGAGAGACTAATCATTCTCCATGCTGGTTGCTCCAGCAAAGGCTTTCTCCCAGGCTGCGACTTGGTATTCAGGGCAAAGTCCACAGATAACAGAGACTACCATTCCGAGATGAATGGTGCGGTTTTCCTCGATTGGGTTAAAAACAAGTTGGTACCAGCTCTACCAGAGAAGTCTTTTATCGTAATGGACAATGCCCCATACCACAGCGTGCAGGACCCCGACAGTAAAGCCCCGACATCGAACAGTCGAAAAGGTGATATGATATCATGGCTCGACAAATTTCAGATCGCACGGCCTTCAAAGGCAACGAAGCCTCAGCTATATGAGATCATAAAAACCCACAAAGGTGAACCTTTCTACAAAGTTGACAGTTACATAAAAGTAAGGGTCACGATATTCTGCGACTTCCACCCTATCACTGTGACCTTAACCCCATTGAAATGATATGGGGTATTGTCAAAGGAGATGTTGCCAGATCAAACACAACTTTTAGATTACGTGACGTAGAGGTTTTGGTTAAGGAATCCCTTAACAAAATCACGACTGAAACTTGGCAAAACTGTGTCAACAAGGTAGCTAACGTCATTGAACAAGGTTACTGGTCTCGGGATGGCTTACAACAGGCAACTGTGGCACCACTTGTCATCCCTTTAAGTCGTGACTATGACACTACGACAGACGAGGAACCGACAGGTCTCCCGGAATAGATTTTGAGATGTCCCCCGCCATGACTGGCTGTTCCGTTTCTGCGGTTTCACCCCGCCGCGACAGATAACAACTTTTGCGTTTTCAATGATGATAGTTTCTTAAACAACTTTTTTGGTGGAGTCCGGAAAATTTTCAAATATAAGAAAGCTGTTGGGTATTAGTAAATGATAAACATGTGTACTATTTATATTTATGTGGCAATTTTGTACAATGATAAAATTTGCAATTCATCGGTCCGTTTCTGACTCAAACGCTAGACTGTATTAGCTGGGGTGGAGTATCTGTCAAAGGCATTGCGAAATCGAAAGTATTGTGAGTGAGTGAGCATAGTTTTACGCCGCTTTTAGCAATATTCCAGCAATATCACGGTGGGGACACCAGAAATGGGCTTCACACATTGTACTAATGTGGGGAATCGAACCCGGGTCTTCGGCGTGACGAGCGAACGCTTTAATCACTATACTATCCCACCGCCCCCTAAAGTATTGTGATACTCCAGGATCCCCTTTTCTGTAAATCAGGGTTTGATATCACTGAAGCGATCAGCGATGATATCACTGAAGCTCCTCTTCACACAGCTATCCAAATGATCTTCACTATCATACCAAAAACATACACAACTTTAACTCCTACATAAGAATCTTATAAATGTTACTGATATTCAAATGATATTGGGATTTTTTGAGAAAATGAAAATGTTGTAAAGTATTTTTGACCTGCTCACATTGACTATTCTAACAGTAAATTGATATCATCGGGAACGACTGTATCATTTTCCTGTATTATTTTAGCACTATTTACTGTACCACCATGAACCCTGTCAACATGAACATGATGCTGCATCCTTCATGTTGTTTATAGACGGGGCGGTGGGGTAGTCTAGTGGTTAAAGCGTTGGCTCGTCACGCCGAAGACCCGGGTTCGAATACCAACATGGGTACAATGTGTGAAGCCCATTTCTGGTGTCCTCCGCCGTGATGTTGCTGGAATATTGCTAAAAGCGGCGTAAACCCAAACTCAGTCAGTCAGTTTATAGACTAAACGACAGCTCCAATGTACACCCAGCCCCGACAATTCACCGAAAATTACAACATGGGCACTAAAGGAGAGGGACCAACAGTGAGAACCCCATAAATGGACAAAAAAATAACAGTCAAAGAAACTTGATATAACGAGCAAATATCACAAATTATGAGAAAATATCCAAACCAATGGAAGTTTGGAGTTTTCCTAATGAATTGGAAACAACGACAAATGTATCGAAACTCCAGAAGCATAATGATAATTATAACGGGGAATTTTGGTTAAGAAATGCTACTAAAGTACTGTCGGAAATAGAAAAAAACTAGGGTTTTTTTTCATTGATATCTACAAATTACATGTATGTAGTTAATATGTGTAAGTGTGACATATCTGTTAATCTAAGTTTGGCCTAACTACAGTCTCAGTGGTAGGGAGATATGAAACGTAGAAAAAGGACTTTACTGAGGACAGATTAGTGCAGAAATGAGAAATGCGGTTTTTTTCTAAGTCCAAAGCGACGTATTTGGAACAGGTCATGACTTTATGCAAATTAGTGTGCAATGATATTATATTACAAAGGACAATTTTAGAATGTCCATTTAGAAATTAAACTTATCTTCATTATAAACGATAGCTGACGTAAAAAACACACACTTTAATACTGAAACTATGAAGGATGTAGCAGCCATGGAGTCTCACTATAACTATAAAAAGAAACAGGTAGGAGGGGCCGTCTCAAAAGCAAATCCAGGACGGGTGTCGCAGACGGTGGTTAGGGTCGGGCTGGAGGATAGAGATATAAGCTGAGATAAGATAATCCTTTAGGGGAATTAAACTGGGAAGCAAATGGCATGTCATAACAATTTACAAATATCCAGTCCTGTCGATCTTCGGCTGGTGATGCCGCCTATATAGTTTGAGACATTTAATACGATGGTTGTTTTAAGCTTGTCCATGGGTATCATGCCCTAGGTATCTCAACATAAACTTTATGATCAATAGATGAGACATATTCAACACACATGAAAAAGCATAAAATATCTTTGAGTTGACCCCTTGTGCTTGTAGGCTACACGTGCATTCCCTCGTCATACCTGGCTGAGCGACCTAATTGCCATCTATAGTCCGATCTATTGTTTTGAGCAGTTATTCGTATTTTTTCTAAGTTTTGCCCGATTTTAGGAGTACACATGCTTTTCTGGATATACTATTACACATCCCACTCAATGCCCAGTTAGGCCGATGTGGGTTATTTCGATATATGCTATTTGTAAATTTGTAAATTTTAAGGATACAGAGTAACAGCCTAAAAACAGGGTTTTTTTCTATTTCCGACAGTACTTTAACGACAAATACCATATTTTTAACTTCTTTTGTAATGAGGCGGCCGGGGACCGAACCCGTGACCATCCGCTCTGCGGGCGGACACTCTAACCACTACGTATACACTACGGAGGCTGTAGTGGGTGAGTGAGTTGAAACGCCTCCGTCTCACTTCCGTCACTGTGAATTAATATTCAGGAATGACACCGGGCATATTTCAAGATTTGATGATGTGACTTTCATCTCCTTTACAGCTCCAGCGTTGTTGGCCATTCTATTTTTAAAGTTTACTAGCTATGTCGATTGGTTAAGATAATAATCCAACCCCACCTTTGACTGACTGAGTTTGGTTTTACGCCGCTTTTAGCAATATTCCAGCAACATCACGGCGGGGGACACAGGAATGGGCTTCACACATTGTACCCATGTGGGGATTCGAACCCGGGTCTTCGGCGTGAAGAGCCAACGCTTTAACCTCTAGGCTACCCCCACCCTCCACCCCCTACCTTTGAGCTTTCATAACCTGCTGGTAGTTCTAACTAAATTAGCACATCAGAATGCTTGAAAATTCAAGAAGGCAAGCGTCCTCTTTGAATGGATGGAAACTTACTTTGAGACGTTGTGAATGATTAACGATTGACTACTTTCATGTCAGGTAAATTTGATCCTTTATGCATTGCTGAAATGTTTCTTTAAGCCACCTCGACGACAACCAAACCTCTCTGCATTTCAGTGACCTACGTTGGAAGGGATCAGGACTGCTACGTGTACCCTGTTGCGTTCACCGTATCTGAACTAGATAAAGCTGAGGTCATAAAACTGCCTAACAGTTCATTCCCCGTACACGCGTGTAGTTACGTTTGGGGCAAATGTGTGTTACGCCATATGCAAACCGTGAATTAGTATTACATGAAAGACAGATGTGGAATAAAATTTACTTTAGTTCTTAATTATTGCACTGTAGTGTTACACACAAATTTATTGTATATTCATAAATAGAAATACATGATTTATCGGCCATTCCACGGAAAACATTTAATGAGGGATCTAGACTATAAGTATTTGGAAGGAAATTGACCCTTTCTTCGAATGATTGTTATGGCGATTAATACTTGACATATATTTATTCTACGATCTTATCATATCAGGGATAATAACCACCATTATTCAACGGAATTATTTGATTACCTCTGCGTATTACGTGGGTATTCTTGTCATTTTCTGTCATCTGCCATCAGCTTCAGCTGCAGAACTCTATATTCTTGTGCTGACTTTAAGGCTACGCTTGTTTATTCAGGACTTATCCGTGTGCTTACTTTTGGCTTCGCTTGTTCATTCAGGGATTATCTTTGTGCTTACTGATATATATATGCTGCGCAGGCATTACCCATGTGCTTACTTACAGGCTGCGCTTGTTCATTCAGGGATTATCTTTGTGCTTACTTATATATATGCTGCGCAGGCATTACCCATGTGCTTACTCACAGGCTGCGCTTGTTCATTCAGGGATTATCCTTGTGCTTACTTATATATATGCTGCGCAGGCATTACCCATGTGCTTACAGGCTGCGCTTGTTCATTCAGGGATTATCCTTGTGCTTAATGTTAGGCTTCGCTTGTTCATGCAGGGATTTAGTAGAAGGAGTGTGTTAATGTACCTACCACAAATACACGTACATGTACCATAAATAGCCATTTAGTCTCAATATTATTCATGTCAAAATGTAATCATTATTTTGCCATTTTCGTAACATTTCCATGTCTGGGATCAGAGTTTTGCTGTTTACAATTTAATATGATCACTGCCTTCTACCTTGGAGTTCAGATTCTCTTATATAATGTGGCCTCTACCTGTTGTAATAAAGATAACAAAACATACACTAACAAGAATAAACAGGCTTTCTAAAGCAGGATTTGTCTTATATCAGAACCGGTTTGAGGTTGCAATATAATTATCTACCTTTGCCGTGTAGCACACACAATATTGACATTGTAATTCAGAGCATGTTATCTACATGAGACAGCAGTTTTAAACATGTCTGTGACACCTAGTGTCCTCGTGTTCCTCAATAACTTCGCACGGTTTTATGTTATTAAAGTTCTGGATGACTCAAAGATCAAGGAGGTAAGTGTAAGTATGAGGTGTGAGTAGATTACAAGTTGAATGGTTAAAGTAGTTGGTGAGTTAAGATTGATGAACGCACGGTTTATAACCATTGATGTGAATATTGATTGACGATTGATGAATGCTTTATGATTGATGTGTATGTTTCACATGTAAGGATGCGAATCATCGTCATCATTCAATTTTCAATAAACTAATAATTTCATTTCAGGTGACTTAAAATCGTCTACATAATGTTGAAATGTTTCATGATGTTGTTTAAAGCTGCGAGTTCAACCACGCCGTCTCCCGGCATTACAACCTCAACCGAGCAGATTACATCCACAGCCTCGACAAGCACGTCGACTACAGCCACCTCCTCTGCAACCACGCCATCTACAGCAACCCCCACTTCACCTACAACTACACCTACAACCACACCGACATCAACGTCAACCACACCGACATCAACGCCAACTACAACCACACCTAAACCTACAACTACAACTACACCTACAACCACACCGACATCAACGCCAACTACAACGCCCAAAGCAATGGCCGACGTCGGATTAGGTCAGGACTGCACGCATGCGCATTGCAACGTAAACCACAGCGCATGCGTAATGAACGAAGCCGGTGGACGTCGATGCGAATGTGTCCAGAATCATTTGGAAACCGTTAATGGGAATTGTAAACAAGGTGAGAGGAGACACTTAAAGGCATCATCCAGGTGTGTATTAATCATAGCAGCTTTCTATTTCATATGTATTATGTTATGTGTATAAACATTTTAGTTGCAGTTATTTTTTTGGGTTAAAATTATTTCCTTCGAATCGAGAGACTTTTGTGTATATTCTATAACAATATGTTTACAGCTCCAACCATGTTGGTTGCAAAGGACATCCCGGATATTACTGTGAAGGGCAACCTTCGTAGTGGAGACGTGGGTAAGTACAGAAAACTGTGCTATTCGAAAGTCCAAAGTAAAGCCCCCGAGTGATTTGTGATGCTTGTACATCATGACTAATGAGGAGACACCACTACCCTAATTTTAAACGTAAGGGACTAAATTCCCAGGGAGGGCTTCTGTAGAGCAGTGCAAAAATTGTACGCGGTTTTACAACATACAATAAAGTGTTCTATGTTGCTGCTTTGACTTGACATTATCACACGATTTGTTGTATCACACGACAGTTGAACTGCAAGGATATATTTTCTTCACTTTCACCATTTATGATCTGTACGTGGAACAACTACCTTTTGTATTCACAAGTTAAACTCTTCAGAGTGTGTGACTAAGACAGCGCCAGACTTGATAGGCTGCTTGCTGTTGATTCAGTACACAGGCATAATTTGGATAGACCCCGAATTTAGCAATATTAGACGAAGTGTGAATCCAGAAATATACAAATGCTTGGTATAGACCCGGGGTCTCGACGGGACGACGTCTCTTGTCACCGGGATATCCCATAGCACAACTGATTAAACACAAACACCAGCATGCACATCAAGCAGATAGCAACACACTGGGTGATATGGCTAGCTGTGTCGCTAAGGTGCCGGGGGTAGAATAAGAGCAAGGCAGACACGTGAGCGAATGAGTGATTACCTTGAGTTACCCTTGAACTCCACAGAGCCTGTACGTGTATTTTGAAATTGAAGATGACAGGATGCATGTAACACATATTACAAATTGCATAATACAAAATTGCCATTTTTTTTAAACCGACAGGTACTGGTATTTCAGGGATAAATTCAGAGTTTAAGAGCGAATCTGGGATTTGAACCAACTATTATAGAATTCGAGTAGACCTAATAACCTCAGTGACGGTAACGTAATATATCACGTAATATATAGTGTAAATATTCTATGAACTATATATACTTCCCATAAAAAATTAGACTCACTAGTGTTCATGTACCACTCACTTCATTTAACTGTTCAAAACTAGATTTTGCAAAATATTCCATATTGTTTAAAGGTACTGTTTACACATGAACTCATACATCGTAAAACAACTTCGTAACTCTGAATAGAATATAGCCACGAGTTCAGTAAATCATGAAACTCGGTGAAAACTGGCGAATTCTTAACGAAACTTTACACCCAAAACGGAGCTGTTCACATGCACGATATTTGCACATGCTTTTGAGCAATTTGATGCGTGCAATTCATCTGCATTGGTTCCCCCAAGTTAGTGGAGAAAGTCATCTTCGATTTAACCATATAAATATATAAAACATATAGTGAGTCTAAACGTTTGATGGGTAGCATATCATGTCATAAGTGGTGGACTTGTTAACATGGCTATATATTTATCATGTTCCAGTTGGCACTATTCCATTTACATCGTTTGCCGACTTCTCGAGATCGGAGTTCCAAATTACCGTTAAAGTCCTTCCAGAAGGCAGTGGAATCACGGCACACGTTACAACGAATGGCATAACGTTGACGTCAACGTCAAACACGGAGACAACACGGAAAGACATCGTGCTAAAGATCGACGCTCATATCCATTACATACTCATATCGCAAGTAGTATCAGTGCATATTGTGTTTGAGGAGATCAAAGTCAATACTCAGATAATACCCTACTTCCTCTATGAAGGGACAAGGGAGGCAACTGTCATTGGCGATACTAGACAGATGACGTCAAGATATGGACAATCAGGATACAAACCCTCAATCATTAGTCTCACTAAAAGCGATATTGTCGAGGCATTGTTTGGGCTGCAAGAGTCAGGGCAAATTGTACTGAAGAAGGACGTGGACCTTCTGGAATTGACCGGATCTGAACGAGTTGCTTCAGTAGAGATATCTTTCCAAGTAAACCTAACCCGTGATTTCGCATCCCAAGATGTTGTCTTAGCAGTTTATCACATCATGATACTGAACGATAACTATCAATACACTATTGACGAGAATAATCCTCCAAATATGGTCATTATGCAGAATCAGTTTTGGGGAAATTCAAATTTCAAACTCACAGCGCTTGTTCTACCAGCAGCGTTAAAGTTTCAAAATAATGATGTCTTGGTAACGGAACAAATGAATTTTGAAAAGGTATCGGATAGAGAAACTGAGTTTAGGCTTCATGTATCCTCAGTTGATTCTCACGGATCAGATAACATTCCTATAGCTGGAAGACTAGTAGTAAAGAATGTGGACGACGAAGCGCCTCATTTTGATGAAACCATTTTATACCTAACCGTCCTGAGTGGTTCTCCAAAAGGAACCATACTTGGTGTAATACACGTACATGACCAAGACACCCCTTTATCAGGCTTATCGCTCGCAATTAAAGGGCCATACAGTGCATATTTTATAATAGACAATGGGGGTACTCTGACAAGTGGAACTGATATGCATATTGGTCCCTCGGAGTTTCCACACAATTTCAATTTCACTGTTTCGGCTACTGATGGAACATCAAGGTCTGACAACGACTGCATTGTGGACGTAACGATCAACTTAGCGAATAAACATACAACTAATCTAAATATGTCATTCCCCGCCGTCCTGCCGGAAGAATCACCCAGTGGCACCTTCGTGGCCGATGTCAGACAAGTCAACTACACCAACTATCTGTTTACAGAGCGTGAAGCTTACTCCTATTTCCGCCTCAACAAAACTACAGTAAGAACTGTATATGGATTTTGGACTTAAATATGAATAAAATGAAGATTATTCATTCTGTCGTAGCATGCAAGTAATCATCGTTTGAACATTTTTAATATGAAAGGCAGTTATCTCCAGAAATCAGTCATCATAAAATCTATCCATGATGTATTTAATATATATTTATTTTGTTAGTGCGTGACTGAGTGAGTTTAGTTTTACGCCGCTTTTAGCAATATTCCAGCAATATCACTGTGGGGGACACCAGAAATGGGCTTCACACATTGTACCCATGTGGGGAATCAAACCCGGGACTTCGGCGTGACGATCGAACGCTTTAACCACTAGGTTACCCCACCGCCCCACCAGGTCTGAAAATATCCAACAACACTGTCAGAATGAAGACAGACGTCTGATGAGCCTCCCTGATACAGACTGATGCTGAGTTGTGTGTGTATGGGGGACAAATTGCCTTGCCATGAAATGGTCCGCCCGAAGAGCGGAAGGTCGTGGGTTCGATCCCCGACCGCGTCATACCCAAAGACGTTAAAATATGGTACTTGTTGCATTGAGCCCATGTGGAGATTCGAACCCAGGTCTTCGGCGTGACGAGCGAACGCTTTAACCACTTGGCTACCCCACCGCCCCTTATTTTGTTGGTGTTAAAGGGACGAAAGTATATTTCTTTCCGTTTGGGATGGTTTATACCATCCTGATATTCCTTGATAATATAACCTCTTTCTTAGCACTGGCTAGCCTTCGTTTGACTGTCCCTAACATTATTCTACGTGTGATGATACGATGACCTTTGTTGCAGGGTAGAGTTACAACTGCGAGACCTCTTGACAGGGAGAAGAGCACCGAGGCCCACACTGATTTCAGCATCAGCGGACATATGGAGAATCAAGATCTGTGCATCCTTATTGTTAGTGAACATTTGCTGTACGAGTGAGTGAGAGAGTGAGTGAGGTTTTACCCGGAGGGGGACACCAGCAATGGGCTTCGCTCACTGTACATATTTGGGATATAGAAACCCTGGTCTTGAGCGTGACGAGCGGGCGCTTTAACTCCTGGGCTACTCCGCCAACCCCGTTTGCTGTGCTAGCGTTAGCTTACTGTTTGACAGCACTATATCCCCTGAGGGAAACTGACGTTTTTGAAGTAAATTATTTAAAACGCGTCTAATGACGTTGTCTAATATTTTCTACAGGCCTCGCTAGGTTGGACGAGATTGGCTTCATAAATAAAATGAATTTTGCGTTGAATGTTTGCCGTTGTAATTGATCAAATCAACAATACTGAACTTAACTTTGAGTCTTGTAGAGTGAATGAGTGAGTGAGTGAGTTTACCTTTACGCCGCTTTAAGCAGTATTCCAGCAACATCACGGCGGGGACATCAGGGATGGTCTTCATACATTGTACCCATGTGGGGAATTAAACCCGGGTCTTCAGCATGTTGAATCAATGCTTTAACCACAAGGCTCGGAAGATGTATTTAAACTTAACTTTTATTGTATTGCTTTTGTTTTCAGATTATTGGGGAGCTACACACAACCTTGACTGATGTGAATGACAACAGCCCGGTGTTTCCTCTCCTTCCGTATGTAACAGTCAACGAAAATGTTGAACCGGGATACGTGTTGGTAAGCACCATGCTTTCCAAACGATGATATACCTCATGGTTGGATTTGACTAACGTATTTCTGACAGAGAATTATATCTAGGTCAAGCGATATCAAAAACATAGCTAATGGATCGCGGGATGTTTGTCCGCTTTGTTGTGACATAGGCAGCGGACAGGGGTGAGGAAATATTTGTGCATTGGTGATAATACACCCACAAGTCGTATATTCTTCGAAATTAGCCCGATTTATCATAAGAATATACCTTTCCCGATTCTACCTATCTTTGATGCCATTCACTTACATTTGCAAGAGCGTGGGTGAAATGAGATTACTTCCGTTGCATAGCGACTTTGATGAACGCATGTGCTCGTCTGTGTACTTGCCTCGTGAAATACTATCCACACATTAATCGACAAACAAAGATGTTTTCATATATCATTCTTGAACATTTTCATCGCTGTCAGTGATTGCGTCGCTAACACTCATGTCAATGTATCTGAATGAAATGATATTGTTTTCAGTTTGAGGCAAGTATACAAGACGATGACCAAGGCATAAATGGGAAGTCAAACTTCATAATTAACGACACGTCAGCCTTCACAGCAGAAACATTTGATGGAAAATCGTTCAAAGTCCGTGTACACCAGAAACTCGACAGAGAGAAAGTACCCGCATATTACCTAACCATTTATGCCGTAGATGGTGCTGCAGGCAGTGCAGTAAGGAAAACAAGTTCAACATATCTCAACGTAGAGGTGGAGGACGTCAACGACAACCCTCCCGTATTTGCAACAACAGCGACGACGTTCGTCGTTCCGGAGAACCAGGCTGACGTACTTGTTACAACGTTAAATGCAACTGACAAAGACGCAGGCCTGAATGGAAAAGTCTCCTTTCAAATAATATCTGGAGGTCTTGGATACTTCACTATAAATAATCGAACGCTCAAAACGACAAAGGGTATCGACAGGGAAACATATGATTCTTTTAATTTGAATATTGAAGCTTTTGACTCGGGAAGCCCTCAACTAAGTACATACCGGAATGTCACCATCGACATCACAGACGTGAACGATAATGCTCCTGTGTTTCATGGCGTCGATGGCCGCGTGTTCAAATTTGTAGAAAATGCTCAATGTTCGAGGAATATTGTGACCGTCAATGCCACCGATGCAGACACAGGGAGCAATGGTCACATCGTATACAGTCTAGGCGGTAGTGATAGTCACATGTTTACAGTGGACAGTCACACAGGCGGTATTTCCTGTAAGGCGCCCCTAGATTATGAAAACATATCTATTTATCGGGATTTAATCATTTTAGCCACCGACCAAGGTCAGCCAGCCCTTACTTCATCATCCATTATCACTGTCAAGGTCGTTGATGTCAACGACAACGCTCCGACGTTCTCAAAGTCCAGTTACGACGTTAATGTTACCAACACTGGGACGGCAGGTAGCATACCTCTGTTCCTTCTCAGTGTACATGATGCTGATTCAGAAGAAAACGGAAAGGTGTCGTTATCTATTGCAAGTTCTCAGGACAGTAACCTATTTACAATTACTTCAAACCTCATACGGTTGAATTCATCCCCTCAGCTTACAAGCAAAGACTATGATTTCAACGTCACTGCAACCGATGGTGGAACTCCTTCCTTGTCTGCTACGACAACGGTGACGGTTCACGTCATGCAAAGTGCATCAAATGGACTTAAGTTCAAGGAGACTGACTTCAGCCTTAATGCCACAGAAAACAGAAACTACACAAGGACGGCGATTGGAAATGTGTCAGTAACGAATAGCGGAGGAAATCAGTTGACCTTCTCAATTGACGCTGAGTTCGCACAAACAAAGTTTTCAATAAACAATGCAGGGGAGATATTCTATGCTGGTACATTTGACAGAGAACTACAGGCGTCGTACAACTTCATTGTGAGAGCGGCTCAGCAGGGTGCGGATGATGTAGCAGTGGTAGGTTTTCTTCTCTGAAATATGAATATAACTGGCCAATCACGAGTAAATGAGTAATTACCAGTAATTACGCCGTTTTAGCAATAGTGAAGCGGCGGGGGACAACTGAAATGGGCTTCACACATTGTACCCGTGTGGGTCCCGGTCTTCAGAGAGCGGATTTTCAGCGGGACGAGCGGAGGCTCTAGCCATCAGGCCCCACCGCCCCAATCACAAACATACATACATTCATACATACATACATACATACATACATACATACATACATACATACATACATACATACATACATACATACATACATACATACATACATACATACATACATACATAATACATACATGCATGCATGCATGCACGCACGTACGCACGCACGCACGCACGCACGCACGCACACACACACACACACACACACACACACACACACACACACATACATACATACATACATACATACATACATACATACATACATACATACATACATACATGATGTTATTGAATAATACTTGTTGACGCAGGTGCGTGTCCATGTGGAGGATGTCAACGACAACCCTCCGATATTCACTCTTCAGTCCAATCAGCTGGTGTTTACTGAACCTGAGGACGTGAAAGTCAATACACCCATAACGACTGTTTCTGCCAGTGACAAAGACACAGGGGCTAACGGTCAAGTGACATATTCCCTGTATCCCTTGACAGGTAATACTCTCAATCCGATATGCTGTCCTTGTAATCAATCAATACGGGTTAGAACTGGTCTTCAGTCACCCATGCTTGTCATGGAGGTGATAGACAGTTGGATAGTTGCTTTGTTGTTTAACGCCGCACTCAGCAATCTTCCAGATATATGGTGGCGAACGGTAAATTACCCAGTCTGGACCAAACAATCCAGTGATCAACATCATGAGCATCGATCTACACTATTGGGATACGGTGACTTGTGTCAATGAAGTCAGCGAGCCTGACCACCCGATCCTATAAGTCGCCAGTCATTGTTGTATTTTTTCAAAAGTCCTTTGAGAGGAGGTGATTCATCCCAAGGCATTGAAATTATAATTGGGAGTGGGACACTTGATCAGGATAAAATATATCCCAAGCCGTTGTAAAGATGTGTTTGTTGTTCAACGCCGCACTCATCTATAAATATGGCGGCGGTCTGACAATAGTCGAGTCTTGGACCAGACAATCCAGTAATCAACATCATGAGCATCGTTCTAAGCATGGGTTACTGATGACCAATTCTAACCAGGTCTCTAGGGTACGTGGTTAACAGATATCGGAAGGTCGGTGTTCGATGCTCATGATGTCAATCACTGAGTTGTCTGGTCCAGATATTTACAGACCGCATAATCATCTCAGATGATTAAAAAGCACGCTTAATCATGACTTAATACATATCAGAAACCTGGATCTTCAGCAAGAAGTAAAATAAGATGAGAATGTCAACTATTCATGAGCATATAATTTCAGATTTTACGATAGACCACTCCACGGGCAGATTGGAGGTAGCCAACAGTCTCGATGCGGATCCTTCTGGTCGGTCGTACAACCTGACAATAACGGTATGTGTGTGAGGGTCAAGAGGCCTAACCACACGATCCCATTAGTGTTATGTCAATGACATAGCAACGGTGTGAAGGAACTCTCTTTGTGAGAGGGATCGTAGATGCAGGGGAACTGCAAAAAATAATAATGATTTCATATTATCACAACTCAGAGTCCAAGTATTGTTAACAGAAAAGTCACACCACTTACATGTATCCTATGCGAAGTATGAAATATGTAGTACATATAGCTGAAAACACAGGATTAGCTCACTTTACCATCACGATATGACATCACATCCTTTTTTCACAACTATTACATTTCCTTAAGCGCTACCCAGCTTCTTTTAGAAAAGTGGTTCCCTCATGTGGGATTACATTTGTTTACTTCTATTTAAACAGGATATGAAGCTTACAAAATTAAACAAACAACTGCAATTTCAAATATATTCTATAGAGGAACGAATATGATATCAGAGGAAGAAAACTTTCGTAGGAACGATTACATATTCGAAATTTCATATTTTTGAAAGCAATTTGAAGGAATGAGAAAATACTCGAAGCAACGAGAAATAATCGAAGCAATGAGAAATGCCGCTGAAAAAAATATGTTATGCTACAAAAGAGGCAGACTTAGGCTTTCGTATTTAAGCGCCTGAGACCTGTAACATTCCCCACTAACTGACACGCATCAATTTCAATTTGCAGGCGACGGACAATGGCAGCCCAAAAAAGATCTGCGGCTGTAACGGCATCCATCCTTGTGACCGACGTCAACGACAATTCTCCGGTGTTCAGTTCACCGACGTACGCCTTCCGCGTAAAGGAGGACGCTGCTGTCAACAGTGAGGTCAGTTGTCTAAGAAACAGCTTGGTGACACAGGAGTAAGAAGTGTACTGTGATTTAAAGACGTGACACAAGCCTTGTGACATGTTATATCCAGTTTGGTCACGATATTTTGGCATTTGATATCAAAGAATTGAATTCATTATTTCATAACAATTGTTTAATTGTTTCATTTTCTGGTAACGTTGGTGCCATTGTTCTCATGTCTGTGAACATGGTTTTGTTTGATATGCATTTTAGAACTAGGTGGATAACAATTACGGCTACCAAGAGACAACGGTATCAGGGTGAGTGAGTGAGTGAGTATGGTTTACGCCGCTTGTAGCAATATTCCAGCAAGATCACGGCGGGGCACATCAGAAATTTGGCTTCACACTTTGTACACATGTAAGGGATCGAATCTGGTTCGAATGGAAATCGAAAACGCTTTAGCCATTAGACTACCCCACCGCCCCAAACAAAGGAATCAGAATCTATACCAAAACGTCGCATCATAACATAATAAAGCATCCTTGAAGTATCCTGCTCATTTTGCGAACACTGTGTCTTTTAAAAATGCGGGTTCAAATACTTAGGTCTCCACATTACAAGCGACAGACAGGGACTACAACAAAGCCACCAACGGCCTGGTGAGTTACGAGGTGGCGACAACAACACAACACTGTCCCTTCTTGATAAAAGAAGGTAAGAAATAGATATGTAGGCAGAAATACCACGTCGACCGTATCTTTCGCTTAGCTCTCTGTTTTGCGTTAAATGATGTGTTGTTAAAATCGTTCAAATGTCAAATGTCAAATTCTTATGCGTTGAAAACTGGTGTCAGCCCATCGCAACTGTGGTTTGTTTCATACGGAATTCATATTTAGCTGTGGGGTAAGGTGCCATGTCTCACCAGTGAAACTCCCACAGGAGATCCGGGTTACAATTGGTCTTCAGCAACCGATGCTTGTCTTAAGAGGCGACTAACGGGATTAGACGGTTAGTCCCTTCATGCCATCGTATCCTAATTGCGTAGATCGATGATCATGATGTTAATCACTGGATCAAGCGTTGAAAATTTTCGGACTGTCGTCATATTGTTTAAATACTGCTGAGTGAGGAGGTAGAACAAACAAACAAACAAACAAACACAGTGTTCACGCTTTTTCTTCTGTGAGTCTGGGAGTGTGGGAGGGAGTTTAATTTTACGCCGCTTACAGCAATATCACGGCGGGTAACCACTAGGCTACCCCACCGCCCCACCACGTCTGAAAATATCCGACAACGCTGTCAAAAAGACGACAGACGTCTGATGAGCCTCCCTGATACAGACTGATGCTGATTTGTGTGTGTATGGGGGACAAATTGCCTTGCCATGAAATGGAATGTCGTGGGTTCGATCCCCGGCCGCGTCATACCAAAAGACGTTACAATATGGTACTTGTTGGTCCCTGCCTGGCGCTCGGCATTAATGGGTACAACAAGGACTGGTCGGCTCGGAGTCAGTATAATGTGTCTGAGTGGGGTATTCCTGCTTCACTGCGGCATGGTATCTCAGTGGGCTAGCACTATAAAACCAGCTTATGTCTGGGCTAGTACAAGCAGCCGCACATACACATACACCCGCATGCACGTCGTCATATGAGCGAAATATTCTCAAGCACGACGTAAAACCCAATTTCACCCCACCTCACCGCCATGAAATGACATCACAGACCTAACGCACTCATTTGTCAACACACACACACAACATGCCTTCCTTAAGCAGCAGTTGTCTGATTTTAGTTTCAGACCCCAGTACAAACAATGTCATGGGCAGCATCCAAGTCAGAGAGCCACTTGACTATGAAAGTGTCAAGTTCTACACCTGTATAGTCACGGCACATGACAACCCAGAAAGACACACGCAGATGAGCAGCACAGCCACTGTCAACATTACTGTAGAAGATGTTGACGACAACGTCCCGTTCTTTCTTAACGAACCCTACATCGCCAATGTCAGCCGAGAAGGTGCTGCGAGAAGTTTTAGTTTCAACGTCACCGCGCACGATGTCGATTCGTCTGCAGTTAATGGTATCATCCGATACAACCTGACAGACGGTAACAGATTTAGTTATACATTTATTAGTCATCATCGTCATCATCATCATCATCATCATCATCATCATCATCATCATCATTTACAGATTTATTTTCGATATATCTCCAAAGGATATAGTGATGTATATTTGTTTCGTGTCCTCTGTGAATATGTCGAACATTTCCTGATGGGATATTTTGAAACTTAAGTATTTTCGTTTGTAATCTTTCGATGTACACAATTTTCACAATTTAACTTTTCTTTAGATCTGAAGACAACTAACCCGCCCTTCAAGATCGATCCTTTTACGGGGACTGTGTCAATTGCGGGCTCCCTCGAGACTGTTCCTGACTTTTTTAATTTGACCATAACAGTCAGAGATAGCAAGCACAGCAACAGCACACGAGTAGGTTACAGCTGTCATAGATATAACCTTCTGTTATCCGAATAATATGTTAATGATTCATATGTTTTAAACATGTTTGAATGGTTCGTAGATTTAGGGTAGTATACGCGCTGAAATCTGTATGGAGCTCATACGATATACGTATACGTGATCATATATATGGGGGCGGTGGGGTAGCCTAGTGGTTAAAGCGAAGACCCGGGTTCGAATCCCCATATGGGTACAATGTGTGAAGCCTATTTCTGGTGTCCCCCCGCTGTGATGTTGCTGGAATATTGCTAAAAGCGGCGTAAAACCAAACTCAGTCAGTCAGTCAGTCAGTCATATATATGGTCAAAAACTGTGTACGGTCACACATACATGTATATGTGGGTTTGGTCAAAATCATCTGCAAGGGTTTACCTTTATGTTTCCAGCTCGCCATTAACATCATTGATAACAATCAGCGCCCAAAGTTTATAAAACCAAAGTACATACACAATATCAAGGAGGAAACTGAGATAACAAAGCCACTTCACCTCCTCTATGTGGGGAGCGCAAGATGACAACACGCCAACCTGTAACTGCACATATGACATGGGTAAGAGGGAAAGGAGGTTGTTGGTGTTATAGGGCATTGTGGCAACAGATAACCTGTTGCGACATGACAAAATGGTAAGGCAAACCTCGACCCCTATCTCAGAATGAGTGCATGGTGGCAAGAAGCCAGCTTGTAAGTACAGTATGTTTATTTTCCAAGGTGATAATAATGTCATCAGCATGCCAAAAATCTGGGTTAAAAATGATCGCCGCCGTGGTGTAGTGGTTAGAGCGTCCGTCCGGAGAGCGGAAGGCCGCGGGTTCGATCCCCGACCGCGTCATACCAAAATACGTTAAAATATGGTACTTGTTGGTCCCTGCCTGGCGCTCGGCAGTAATGGGTACAACAACGACCGGTCGACTCGTAGTCAGCATAATGTGTCTGAGTGGGGTATTCATGTTTAACTGCGGCATGGTATCTCAGTGAGCTAGCACTATAAAACCAGCTTAAGTGTCGGCTAGTACAAGCAGCCATACATACACCCGCATGCACGGCGTCATATGAGCAAAATATTCTCAAGTACGACGTTAAACCCCATTTCACCTCACCTCAACTGGGTTAAAACCGGTCGTCATCAACCCATGCTTGTTGTAAGAAGTGACTAACGGGATCGGGCGACAGGGTCTCTAGCATGGTTGGAGTGAGTGAGTTTGTTTTTACGCCGCTTTTAGCAATATTCCAGCAATATCACGGCGGGGGGTGAGGTGAGGTGAAATTGGGTTTTACGTCGTACTTGAGAATATTTCGCTCATATGACGACGTGCATGCGGGTGTATGTGTATGTGCGGCTGCTTGTACTAGCCCAGACTTAAGCTGGTTTTATAGTGCTAGCCCACTGAGATACCATGCCGCAGTGAAGCAGGAATACCCCACTCAGACACATTATACTGACTCCGAGCCGACCAGTCCTTGTTGTACCCATTAATGCCGAGCGCCAGGCAGGGACCAACAAGTACCATATTTTAACGTCTTTTGGTATGACGCGGTCGGGGATCGAATCCACGACCTTCCGCTCTCCGGGTGGACGCTCTAACCACTACACCACGGAGGCGGTCATCACGGCGGGGGACACCAGGACATGGTTGGAGAAGGTCATCGTATCCCGACTGCGTAGATTGATGATCATGATGTCAATCACTGGTTTCTCAGCTCCGGACTCGATTATTTACAGCCCACAAGAGTAATCATGTTCAGTTGTAACCAATAAGTGGAATATTCGTGTAAAATATACCACAAACAAACCATGCTAACACTGAACATCATTTCGATAACAATTAACATTTTCATTTCAGATGATTCAGAATATTTTACAATCGAAAGCACGACCGCTAGCGTCCTTCAGCTAAAGTCTGTGGACAGAGAAAAGATCGGTAACAACGTGACACTTCATATCACAGCCACAGATCACGGGTCTCCCCCAAAGTCTACCCGAACGTTGCTCGTGGTTAACATCGTTGACGTCAACGACAATGCCCCCTTCTTCTCTCCTGAGCAACAGGTGCAGACCTTTACAGTTAGCAAGGTATGTTCTGTTTTGTCGACTCCTCTCCGTAGACATGTATATATACTGAGTCAAAAAAGAAACTTCACATTCTTTCTTCAGGGCACTATAAAAGAACAAGAGATGGTAAAATGGTTAAATTGTTATTATTTCATTGCTGAGATCTGTGTGATGTACTCGATACACTGACAGTGCCATAATCAGTTCCAGTAGGCTACACCGCCGTTCCAAAACATGGTTATACAGAATGTCAAGTCACAAGAATAAAAATGCGAAACTTCTCAGTTCAATATCGTGTATGGCCGCCCCGCGCATTCGCCACTGCCAAACACCGTCTCCTCGTCGACTGCCTGATGCTTGTGAACACGTGGTTGGGGATTCTGCGCCATTGCTCTTGCAAGGCAGCGCCAAGTTCCTGCAAATGCTGAGGTTGGTTCCGAAGACCACGAAGCCTTCTCCCAAGTGCATCCCAAACGTGCTCTATTGGATTAAGGTCAGGGGACCTCGATGGCCAGTCCATGACGTTGATTCCAGCGTTTTGAAGGAAATTTCGTGTCAACATCGCGGTATGCGGCCGAGAATTATCATGCTGGAACTGTAGACCTGGGCCATGAGCCACCATGAAAGGAACGAGTTCAGGGCTGAGCACCTGGTCGCGGTAAGCAGCAGCTGTGAGGTTTCCACGGATGACCAGAAGTCGGGAACGGTTGTTCCCACAGAAAGCACCCCACACCATGCAACTTCCGCCCCCGAATCTGTCGACTTTCTGTACACAACATTGGGCATACCGTTCACGACGTCGTCTCCAGACTCTATGCCTGCCGTCCGCGAATCTGAGGGTAAACCTGGATTCATCGCTAAAGACGACTCGATTCCAGTCTTTCTGGGTCCATCGGAGGTGACATTGGGCCCACAGCAGACGTTGACGTTGATGAAACGGCGTCAATATTGGCCCACGATATGGACGTGGAGAATGGAGACTGGCAACCCGCACCCGCGGGGCAACCCGATTTCCAATGGTCTGTGAGGACAGTCGACCTCTAAACATCTCAGCCCTGGTTCGTGTAGCCGGCAGAAATCTGTCACGTAGGTGACGTAGGACGATTTGACGGTCTTCTGCTTGTGACGTCACACGTGGACGACCCGACCTTGGGCGATCAGAAGTGGTGCCAGTTTGTTGCAGACGACCTCGCAAGTCATACACAGTACGACGGCTGCATCCCATTGCTCTTGCGACGTCAATAACTGATCTTCCCGCTTGCAACATGCCAACGGCACGTTCACGTTGCACATTTGACAATCGTGGCATTTCAAGTACCGTTAGAACTGTGGTTTAAAAGTGTTTTTTTAAATTCTTGAGGCCAATGCAAACACGTGCATATAAAGACAACTTCGATGCGAAGATCACGTGATCGACTGCAGGTGCAAAACCTGATTTGGCACTAACGTCATTTGCACGACGAATGGATGGGTTTGAGTGGGTTTTGCTACCGTTTTTCTTGAGTCGAAAGATAGGGATCCCATTTCGGATACATAGATGTATCATCACAGAAAAATTATTCATTATTTTTCAATTTACATTTTGTGAAGTTTCTTTTTTTGACTCAGTATATGTTCTTCCTTCCAAGGTTCTGTCTTCTGACTTCTATGTAAGTGGGTTTGGTTGTTGTATTACCGCCACACTCAGCGCTCACACTCGCGAATCTGGAGGAGACAACCCAGTGATCAACAGCATGAGCATCGATCTATGCAATATTGGGGTACGATGTCATGTGTCAACCAAGTCAGCGAGCCTGACCAACGATCCCGTTAGTCGCCTCTTACAAGAAGCTTGGGTTGCCGAAGACCAATTCTTACCCGGATCTTCAAGGTGTGTATATAAGTGAATTAAGTTGATGTTTGGGTATCATGGCTACAAATGGAAGATTCTAGATTTTCCCAAGTTTCTATCCTTTATCCCCCAGGACCATGTCGTCAAGTGAAGGGTAAACACCGTCACGAAACATATGATTGCGTACGGGATAAAAAACACCATACTTTGAATAGCTACAGGAGCAGCTCATTCGTCTCTTAAGAAATGCACCGTGAAAATCACTGTTACATAATGAGGTATTGCAGATGACCCCGATCAACACAACAATCGACCGCGTGGCCTTTACAGATGAAGATGAACCCTCAACGTCAGCTCCACGTTTCGCAACTGTAGTCAACACCAACGACAACATACGACTCCGTGACGATGGATCGCTGGTTGTAACTCGCTCTCTTCTGAATCCTGAAAGGGAGATTGAGATCATCCAGGTGACTGTGCTTGGTTAAACCTACCTCGGTATACAAAAGGCAAAGTACATGTGTTTACACTGAATACTGGCAATGTACAATGAAATGAATTGTGAATTTCGACAAGATGTCAAAATATCCATTTATCGGTCCTTTGTTTGTCTCATTTGACTGAACGTAAAACAAATACAAGAGTATTTGGGTTAAATTTGTAGTTTTTGTCAAAGCAAAATCATTGCATTTGCAAGTTACATAAAAATGCTATTTCTAATGTTTGAATTGTTTTCAAATGATTGACTGAGTATCGTGTTCCACAGCTCATAGCTTGTATTCCAGCGGATCATATGATATTAGCCATAGATGTGCAGCGGTGGTTTCGACATCCATACACATACCATTATTTACACGTATTTCCAAAAATACATTGTGGTTCGAGATGCATGACAATGTAAACGCCTAACAGGCAGCTTGGATTATCCGGGGTAATAATGTGCTGTGCCTTGATTGTTAGCGCTATGAGCATACCTAGTGTGGAGTTTGGCGCTATATAAATGGACGCATTATTATTATTATTATTATTAAAATGATCGTTAATTCGCATCGATGCAGGTGTCATGTGTAGTTGTGCTTGCTGTTCATTTATACCGTTTCCATTCCAAGTAATCTACCAAACTGACATACCTCATAAATCAAATTTCGTGATTCTTATCAACGCACCTGTATTGGGTCTTACCTATTTGCGCTGACGTTTTATACTTACAATCTTTTTGTCTCAATCGTATTCCAGAGTGTATTGTTATTTTGGAAGAGTATCTTGAATCTTTTTGAGCAAACGCGTTACCAAGTGAAATGAAACATTTTCTCCTAAACCGGCCCTTATGTTGGGGAAGACATCAGCATTTATGAAGCAATGAACAGGTAGGTTGTTTGGATTTGCTAACCAGTGAGTTTTACTCCGTGTCCTCAGATCGCGACCCAAGTTAAAGATAGTAAGAAATTGGTCCCAACGCTCCCGGAACACAAGAAGTCAACTGAGGATTTGACACACACAGCCAAGCTAATCATCACCATAAAGCAGCACAACAACACACATGCTCCATATTTTTCACAAGGTAAATGCGTATAGTTCTTGAACATCAATTGCTGTATTCCTCCATTAGTCCTCTGAGAAGAGGTGGTTCATCCTGACGCATTGGCAGTTATGATAGGAAGTGGGATGCTTGATCAGAATACAAAGTATCCCAAGCCGCTGTAAAACCTTAATGGTAGACGTGTGAAGGATATCATGAACCTTAACCATCAAGGAGATCAACCATGTCTGATTGGGTTCATTAATTTTGTCTCCTACCGTTCCGTGGTTGTTAAGGGGAACACTTGACTTCCCCAAGCAAGCAGTTTGGGTGGGTATTCTGACAGGGTAAGGACAAGCTCACCCGCCGTGATATTTCTGGAATATTGCTAAAAAACGGCGTAAAACCAAACTCACTCACTCACTACATGAGGGTGAAACTAGTTTCCTTTAGTGCGAGTTTATATTGATATAATTTGCCTACTAATATTACAGAGTATATTTTAACCATCAGGTGTATATACCACGGGCGTGTCCGCTATTGCGAGTAAAACCCAACAGGTTCTCGTACCAGGATTCCAAGCAGTAGACGAGGATGGGGACAACGTTACATTTACCATAATTTCCGGCAACATCAGGGTAAGCTTGCAGAATGTTCAGCCTAAATTATAAATTCAATGCCATTTTACTGTATCGGAGCTACAAGGTCCCGTTAGAACAGTGTTCAGCGACCAATGCTTGTTGTAAGAGGCGACTGGTGGGACAGGTAGGTGCGCTGACTTGTACTGCTTTATACATGTTTGCTCTTCCTTTGCAGGATACTTTCAAGATTAACCGGATAACTGGGATCATCACGTTGGCCTACGATATAGATGAGCATGTCCCTCACATTGTAAACCTCACTGTCAAAGCAATGGATGATGCTGAAATGGTTAAGACAGGGTGATTTGTTCTTTTTACGTGTATACTGTTTACAGTCATGCCATCATACAAAAACACCACACCCCCACCCATCACCCACCAACCACCAACAACGCCCGACCACCAACCCACCAACCATCACCCATCACCACCCGTCACTCACCAACCATCACCCACATACCATCACCCACCACCCACCACCATCACCCACCACCCACCACCAACCACCGTCACCCACCACCATCACCCACACCCACCACCATCACCCACCACCCACCAACTATCACCCACCACCACCCGTCACTCACCAACCATCACCCACATACCATCACCATCACCCACCACCCACCACCATCACCAACCACCCACCACCCACCACCATCACCCACCACCCACCACCAACCACCGTCACCCACCACCATCACCCACACCCACCACCATCACCCACCACCCACCAACTATCACCCACCACCACCCGTCACTCACCAACCATCACCCACATACCATCACCCACCACCCACCACCATCACCAACCACCCACCACCAACCACCGTCACCCACCACCATCACCCACACCCACCACCATCACCCACCACCCACCAACTATCACCCACCACCACCCGTCACTCACCAACCATCACTCATCTGCTTATGGAGACGGTTCATGGTTGTACATGATTTTGAAGGAAAGAAAACTAAATTCCAGATTCCAGATTTCTCTCTTCATTATTGCAATATTGTGGACCCAGGAAAGTCATACTATGTCCAAATGGCCTTATGATGGATAAGCAGTGTCATAAACAAAACTGTGTATTTTCTTGTGCATGAATTTCACCAAATGTCACTATATCCACTTTACACTGGTTGATACGTTGGATTGATTGTTTGGCTTGTTGTTTAACGCCGCACTCAGCAATATCCCAGCTGTATGGCGGCGGTCTGTAAATAATTATTTTTCTTGTTTATATATCTAGGATTGAACATTAGTTTAACTAATTTTCTTCGGGAATTGCTATTTCCAAAACATACTGTTAAATTTATTGCATTTATCTTGTTCACCATATTGCAGGACGTGTTTGGTTCAGATCACCCTTGAAGGCTCATCAAGCCGACAATGCTATTCTCCCTCAGAGCTGAGCCACCAGATCGGGTCTAACACATCACCACAGACTCAGTTCATTGCCCCTCTTGGAGCTCTAGCAGGCCTGTTAGCCATAGCAATCATCGCATGCCTTGTCCTCTTCGTCAAGTATGTACAAAAATGACAATGTATTGACGGTCCTTTGGCTTAAACATAATGCCATGTTAACTTGAATTTAGATAAATTTAATTTAAACAGTACAAACTTGCTTGAAATGATCGTGATATAATATGCTGATATTATTATGTATGATAACAGTTGCTAGTAGAATAACTTTGTGAAAGCAAATCGCAAATAAATGATGGCAACGTGGTTCAATTCGCTCATGGTTTTGCTGAGGCGTCCATACAGTATATGTAATTGTGACACTTTGGTATGCAATGAGCAGCTGCTATAGTAATGCGAGTATTATGTTTATTGTTCTACAGACTCCGTCTTACAAACAGAAACGCTTCACCTGAGACGGTGAACCAAGACAGACACAGTGACAAATCTCAAACAAGAAGAGATGAAGCATACCGGTTGTCTGGTGATCCTGATCAATTTGTAAGGGCGTTGGTGGAGAATTGCGATTTTTTAAAACAAGATTTCACCGTTTCACCGTAACGATTTAGCTAATGTGGGGACCAAATGTGACGCTTATTACTTAATAACCTTCGGGAGCGGTTAGCGTGTGGTCAAACAAAAATAAACTCTCAAAACTTTGGTTCGAACTTGCGACCAGCAGGCTTTCTGTGAGCGACACTCCCAGTTTCAGCCCCATTAGAACACTGCGTCATTCTGGACTGAAATATGTTTGTATATGCTTAACCACATTTATCCTCTGTCTTTCCGGGGTAAAGATGGCGGGCTCAGTGCTGACCATATAACAGATGATGTGTGCATTTACCATTTGTTTAATTTCCTGTTGCAGAAGAGCGGTGTGGAAAATCGAGCATATGTTCCCCTTGAGAGGAGGTAAAGTACTTTCATTTTCCGTCCTTCTCGTAGTTGCCAAAACAGAATAGAATGTTGTCACGTCAACTAATTTGTAATAAATCAAAAAGTTACCTTCAATGGATAACTGACAATTATGCTCTGGCATCTTCTAGCTATGCACGACAGCGAAAATACTAGAAACCTAATGCATCTGGACGATTAAAATATATTCACCCTGTAAATAGTGTCATATGTATTGTTGCAAAGCATAATGTTACCTTTCAACTAATTTGTAATAAGACATAATGTTACCTTCACATGGATCGCTGACATAAGTTATGCTCCGGCCTGCTGGCCTCTCCTAGGTATGTCTAGGTAGATACAACATATACACAAACAGACCTCGACATTACACTAGTGACCACCCATGGTTCGCAACTATCATGACGTTAAAGAATTTATTGATTCCTTTCTGACACACCTGCATGTACTATGCAACAGCTACAGTATGTTGTAATTCTACCCGTGAATATCCGGGTTAGAACTGATCTTCAGCGACCTATGCTTGTCGTAAGAGGCGACTAACAAGATCGGGTGGTCAGGCTCGCTGACTTGGTTGACACATGTCTTCGTATCCAACTGCGTAGATCGATGCTCATGATCACTGGATTGTCTGGTCCAGATACGATTATTTACAGACCGCCGCCATATAGGTGCATTATTGCTGAGTGGGCGCTACACAACAAACCGAACAGATGTTGTAATTCTTCTGTAGGGATATCCAGAGTGACAGAAATGCCGAATATGAAGGAATGCGAAACAGGCACCAGGACAGGAACAGCGACTTATCTCAAGGCAGAAGAGCTGATTATGAAGCCGACCGGGGACCTGGTGGTCACAGACGATTAGTAAGTAGTTATCATTGCATGCGTATACGTGTGAGAATGCCTTGAACGAGCTTTTTGGTGTTTGAAAAACATTAAATTCTTCACCACAACGTTTTATTTTAATGTGGGGATCAAATATGACGCTATTTACTTTGTTGAATCCTCGTGAATGGTAAGGGTAAGCTCAAACAACGAGTGTTCAAACAATGATGCATTAAGATAGCTTTTCATTCGAATTCACAACAAGTAGGGTTTTTGGGAGAGGCACTGTAAGTTTCAGCACCATAGACCACTTTGGTACATATGACACATCCTCCAAGTAATGCTTAATCCTTTAGATATATATTGGAACATAATTACTGACCTTCATCCTCTGTCTTTCCGAGGTAAGCATAGCATAATCAATGTTGCCAATATAACTGTCACAGATGATGTGTACATTTAACATCTGTTTTATTTCCTGTTGTAGTCGAACCAAGAGAACAATCCAGCATATGTTCCCCATTACACGAGGTAAAGAACTTTCATTCAGCGTCATTTTTACAGTTACAAAACAGGTCATAATGTTATCACTTCAACTAGTTTGTGATAAGACATCAAGTTGCCTTCAAATGGATTACAGACATCAGTTATTCCCTGGCCTCTTTCAGCTATGCATATGTGTGTAGGAGTGGTTGGGTAGCACAGTGGTTAAAGCGTCCGCTCCTCACCCCGAAGACACGCCTGGGATTTCCCACATGAGTACAATGTGTGAAGCCCATTTCTGGTGTCCTCCGTCGAGATACTACTGGAATAATGCTAGAATTGGCGTAAAACTAAAACTCACTCATTCACTAACTTCAGTATGTGTGTTATGGTGTAATTCTTCTGTAGACTTAATCAGAGCGAAGGTAACGCCGCAGATGAGTCATTGCCAAAACGGTACCAGGACAGACACAGCGACTTATCGCAAGGCAGAAGAGCTGATTCTGACAACGAAGCTCAACGGGCACCTACTGCTCACAATCGATTTGTAAGTATATAGTTATGATTGCATGCGTATGGTTGTGAGTGCGTGTTTGATTAGATATTAGCTGCTAAATATTATGCAAAACTTAGTAACTTCGCAGTATTTTATCTTAACCTGAGGACCAAATGTGACTCTTTTATTTACTTATATGAATCGCCGATAAGGCCAGGGTGTGCTCAAACAGTACTCCACTATCACGTCGAAGATCGGGAAAATATCATCTGAGTTTCCAATGTACTGATGGCGAGCTCAGTGTCGCCAATATAACAGATGTAGATGATGTGTACATTTGTCATTTGTTCTATTTCCTGTTGTAGTCGAACGAAGTGAACAACCCAGGTTATGTTTCCCATGACAGGAGGTAAAGTACTTTCATTTTGCGTCCTTCTTGTAGTTGCCGAACAGAATATAATGTTGTCACTTCAACTGATTTGTAATAAATCAAAAAGTTGCCTTCAAATGCATGACTGACATCAGTTATGCTCTGGCCTCTTTTAGCTATGCACGCCAGCGAAAATTCCAGAAACCTAATGTATCAGGAAAATTAAAATATATTCAGCCTTTAAGTAGTGTTTTAAGTATTGCTGCAGTACATTATCAAATTTAGTAAACAGATGCATCACCCACTACCGCGTTAGCTACATATTTGCAGAAATGTGAGGCCAAATATACTTTCGGTCCCCTTGACAGAAATGGAATCATCATCGGTTGTTATTTTCAGGGGGTAGTTTCTGTTGAAGTGCTTTTTACACGATGAATATGAGGTACCAGACCCTGGATGTCACATCTCCAAAGTATTGTTAAAGATGAACAGGGTCTAGGGTAATTATTTTCTTCCAAAAACGCAATATATATATGAATATATGTATATATGCAACTATCAGGTTCCAAAGGTAGTATGCGTTATTTGGACTATTTTAGAGTCTTGCTTGCAATGAAGCTGCTTCAGTATGTGTATTAGGATGTAATTCTTCTGTAGACGTCATCAGAGCGAAGGTAACGCCGCAGATGAGTCATTGCCAAAACGGTACCAGGACAGACAAGGCAGAAGAGCTGATTCTGACAACGAAGCTCAACGGGCACCTACTGCTCACAATCGATTTGTAAGTATATAGTTATGATTGCATGCGTATGGTTGTGAGTGCGTGTTTGATTAGATATTAGCTGCTAAATATTATGCAAAACTTAGTAACTTCGCAGTATTTTATCTTAACCTGAGGACCAAATGTGACTCTTTTATTTACTTATATGAATCGCCGATAAGGCCAGGGTGTGCTCAAACAGTACTCCACTATCACGTCGAAGATCGGGAAAATATCATCTGAGTTTCCAATGTACTGATGGCGAGCTCAGTGTCGCCAATATAACAGATGTAGATGATGTGTACATTTGTCATTTGTTCTATTTCCTGTTGTAGTCGAACGAAGTGAACAACCCAGGTTATGTTTCCCATGACAGGAGGTAAAGTACTTTCATTTTGCGTCCTTCTTGTAGTTGCCGAACAGAATATAATGTTGTCACTTCAACTGATTTGTAATAAATCAAAAAGTTGCCTTCAAATGCATGACTGACATCAGTTATGCTCTGGCCTCTTTTAGCTATGCACGCCAGCGAAAATTCCAGAAACCTAATGTATCAGGAAAATTAAAATATATTCAGCCTTTAAGTAGTGTTTTAAGTATTGCTGCAGTACATTATCAAATTTAGTAACAGATCCATTACCCGCTACCGCGCTAGCTACATATTTGCAGAAATGTGAGGCCAAATATACTTTCGGTCCCCTTGACAGAAATGGAATCGTCATCGGTTGTTATTTTCAGGGGGTAGTTTCTGTTGAAGTGCTTTTTACACGATGAATCATATGAGGTACCAGACGCACGATGTCACATCTCCAAAGTATTGTTAAAGATGAACAGGGTCTAGGGTAATTATTTTCTTCCAAAAACGCAATATATATATGAATATATGTATATATGCAACTATCAGGTTCCAAAGGTAGTATGCGTTATTTGGACTATTTTAGGGTCTTGCTTGCAATGAAGCTGCTTCAGTATGTGTGTTATGATGTAATTCTTCTGTAGACGTCGTCAGAGCGAAGGTAACGCCGCAGATGAGACCATGCCAAAATGGTACCAGAACAGACACTGGGATTTATCGCAAGGCAGAAGAGCTGATTCTGACAACGAAGCTCAACGGACACCTACTGCTGACAGTCGATTTGTAAGTATATAGTTATGATTGAATGCGTATGGTTGTGAGTGCGTGTTTGATGAGATATTAGCTGCTAAATATTATGCAAAATTTAGTAACGTCGCAGTATTTTATCTTAGCCTGAGGAGCAAATGTGACTCTTTTATTTACTTTTATGAATTGCCGATAAGGTCAGGGTGTGCTCAAACAGTACTCCACTATCACGTCGAAGATTGGGAAAATATCATCTGAGTTTCCGATGTGCGGATGGCGAGCTCAGTGTCGCCAATATAACAGATCTAGATGATGTGTACGTTGTCATTTGTTCTATTTCCTGTTGTAGTCGAACGAAGTGAACAACCCAGGTTATGTTTCCCATGACAGGAGGTAAAGTACTTTCATTTTGCGTCCTTCTTGTAGTTGCCGAATAGAATATAATGTTGTCACTTCAACTGATTTGTAATAAATCAAAACGTTGCCTTCAAATGCATGACTGACATCAGTTATGCTCTCTCCTCTTTTAGCTATGCACGCCAGCGAAAATTCCAGAAACCTAATGCATCAGGAAAATTAAAATATATTCAGCCTTTAAATAGTGTTTTAAGTATTGCTGCAGTACATTATCAAATTTAGTAAACAGATGCATCACCCGCTACCGCGTTAGCTACATATTTGCAGAAATGTGAGGCCAAATATACTTTCGGTCCCCTTGAAAGAAATGGAATCGTCATCGGTTGTTATTTCAGTGGTAGTTTCTGTTGAAGTGCTTTTTACAAGATGAAACATATGAGGTACCAGACGCACGATGTCACATCTCCAAAGTATTGTTAAAGATGAACAGGGTCTAGGGTAATTATTCTCTTCCAAAAACGCAATATATATATGAATATATGTATATATGCAACTATCAGGTTCCAAAGGTAGTATGCGTTATTTGGACTATTTTAGAGTCTTGCTTGCAATGAAGCTGCTTCAGTATGTGTGTTATGATGTAATTCTTCTGTAGACGTCATCAGAACGAAGGTAACGCCGCAGATGAGACCATGCCAAAATGGTACCAGAACAGACACTGGGACTTATCGCAAGGCAGAAGAGATGACAATGAAGCTAATTGGGGATCTGCTGGTCAAAGGCGACTTGTGAGTAGATATGTTTGCATGTGTATAGGTGTAAGAGTCCGTTGGCTGAGACATTTGCTGCCTAACAATTATGTAAAGCTTCACAACTGCGCTTTATCTTTATGTGGGGATCAAATGTGATTTTATTTTACTATTGAAAAGCCGATAGTAGATGGTGTGCTCAAACAATACTCAAAACTGTCACCTTGTAGATTGGAGATGGGATGCTTTACCATTGTGTTTTAGCATAATGTGGGGACTAATGTGGCGCACATTGTTTCGTCAACACTCGAGGTCGGTCTGGTCAAACAATGACGCACTACCAAGACTTTGGTTCGAACCCACGGCCAGTGAACATTTAGCGAGTGACACTGTAACTCAGCTTCAGCACTATAGAACACTGTGTCACATATTACAAAGGAATGCTGGACCCTTGAGAAATATATTTCCATATGATCAATCACATTAATCCCCTGACTTTATGATGGAAGGATAGCGGGCACACTGTCTGCATATGTACCAGATGATTTATGTTTTTACAATTTTTGTATTTGTTTTTGTAGACGTCAGGAGAGAACAATCCAGGTTTTGTTCCCCAAGAAAGGAGGTAAAGTACGTTCATTTTGCGTCCATGTAGTTGCTGAACGGAATATAATGCTGTCACCTCAACTAATTTGTAATAAGACATAAAGTTGCCTTTAAATGGACCACTGACCTTAATTATGCTCTGGCCTCTTTTAGGTATGCACGACAGCGATTATTCTAGAAACCTGATAACAGTAACATTTAACTGAATTCAGTCGGTAAAGGGTGTCATATTTATTGTTGAAGTACATCATGTAATTTTGAAGACAAGTGCATCTTCATCCATATTTGCGGAAATGTGATGCGAAATCTTTTAAAGAACTGGAATCGTTCTCATTTGGTGTCAGTCGATACTTCTGTTGAAGTGCTTTCTCCTACATGTAGCGTGTAGGTGCCAGTTTAGAGTCATTATATGCTTCCAAAACTCATACTATACTCATGGAAACGAATAAGGGAACACATGAAAGTACAAGTGTTCCTTTATTCTTTTCCAGGTTTCTTCACAAGGTATGTATTGGACTGTGGGTGAAATCCTGGGAATAGATAAAGGAACACTTGTACTTTCATGTGTTCCCTTATTCGTTTCCATGAGTATATACGCATACACAGATTTATTGTCAATATCTTTTGAAGTGTTCCCTCCGACATGAGTTTTGTGTTAGGAACGAGATCTTAAGTGGCGAATCTCTTTATGTTTCAGTATGACGAGAACACTTGCATTGCCGAACCAACCACCGCGTGAGCCCCGCCCAGTCAGCGATGAACAGCTATACCGGGGAGAAACATATTACCGAGGTCCTCCAGGGCACCGCCGATTTGATAGCCGTTTCTGAAAGTTTAAGAAAGAAATATAGACATTGGCTACTTATGTAGTGAACAACGTCGAATTCAGGTTATGGTTGTGTAATCGTGTGTTTGATTGCTCTCCGCCGATGTGATGATCTGTGTTAATCTTGCTGCGGATTTGGGACTCATTTGCATATACTCTACAGGATAATGTTTTTTTACAGCATGTTATATTTCGGTTCACACATTTTCTAGTTCATGTGTAGGTTGCGTCGGATCAGGGATTCGAGCCCTCACTCTGAATAAGCACCTAATCGCCAGTACACAAAATCAGTGATCTAACAACTCAGCCACTGTCGCCTCCGGACAAGATGGACGTCTGATAACCGGTAGCCTTGACAACTATTTTTGTATATATCTGTGATAAAGGGACGGCCTATTCGTTGATTTATCCATATCGAGGAACTTTAAGTATTCTTTGTTATTCACAAGAAGTCCCCAAACTAATAAAATTAAAAACTACTTCTAAATAACCGTGATTGTACTACATGAATAGATGCGTTCCGTAATATTGTCGTATCATATTGATCTTGCTAGTGGTTTGTATATATTACACATACGAGGAATATTATTCGTGCTAAGATATTTGTCATGTTTCACAGTATTCATTCGTCAGGCATTTTTTATATTTTAAAAAAATCAGTAAACTAGAACACGGTGTCATGTGCTATTTCCCATATTGACTTGTACCAATATTCCAATGTACCGATGCGATTAAAACACTCCCGCTTCAACTGGGTCGCTGAGGGCCGAAACGTGTTGTATTTGAACGAACGAATCGTACATAAAATACCACTTACTTTCTGCATTTTCAAAGCTTGGAGATTGTATGCTTACATTGTGGACTAAGATGACTGAATTCAATACAGTAGCAGACACTTAGTATCAACTAGTTTGTGGTTGTGAAGGATTCGTTCAATGCAGTTCTTGTCAAATGCTTCATGAAGGTTGTGATTTATGGCCCTGCTTAACGCTAGTTGGACAGAAAATCAACAACCTGTACACACAAATCACGAAGCCAGAGCGATTGGTTATTGGTTCCAGAACCTGTCGTGGGTGTGATTTTACGACCCGTCTAGCATTATTCCACTAGTACGACGGGACACAGAAGCACAGGAAATACGTTTCACACAGAAACACCGGTTTCACGTTGGGAATCGAACTGTATCTTTGGCGTGACGGATGAACGCTTTCACATTTAGGCTACCCCACTATGTGAAAACAATGATATTGCAGAGCTGGTCAACTAGACGATTTGGAACATAAACAGTGCATTCACTTGGACTAAAACACACAAATTTGCTGCAGTGCAAACTGTTTTTGTTTTGAGCGTATTGTAACTCTATGGGTACAATACTAGCACTAAGTGCATTTTAAAACACTATTTGACAACGCGTATAATATTATGGTTTGGATGTGTTACAGTCAACGTGTAAAATGAATCAGTGTATAACATGGAATTCGCCTAGGCGAATTTACAAATGCCAAAATATTTCAGTCAGTACTATTTTGTCAATTTATTTTACAGGTTGACTTAAACTCAGTAGGCAGTTCAGAAGCGCTCACAACCATCCCAGACAACAGACAAATACTAGCATTAAAGACAAAGCATAAAAATGTATTGAATATTGAGTTCGTTTCGTCCTGTCATTCACAGTAAGAGGGTGATCTAAATGTTTAGTAGTCGTTACCATTATAATAAAATGGGCAGTTGTTTATTACTAATTACTTAAGTGCAAATATCCGTCGTTTTTCGCATTGACTGTATATGGCAGTTATTCCTATATTATTGTCCAGCGAAGCAGTCGTAGAATATTGGGTGTTGTTTAGGCCAGATTCAACTGATATATAATGCCATTGTTCTTAAAGTGAGTGAGTGAGTTTAGTTTTAGCAATATTCCAGCAATATCACGGCGGGGGACACCAGAATTGGGCTTCACACATTGTGCCCATGTGGGGAATCGAACCCGGGTCTTCGGCGTCACGAGCGATCGCCTTAACCACTAGGCTACCCCACCGCCCCTGTTCTTGAAGAATCATAACGGTGCAATGAACATTTCGAACAAATATTGTGTATTTGTGTTCTGTATCGAAATTTTGCACAGCAACAGTGGCCAAGAATAAATTGACGAAAATACACATAACAAATTCGACAGAAATAGAACAGAATATGATTTGGGTTTACAAGTATACAGTGGAGGTTCATTAAAAATAAAGCTGAATACGCAATACCCTCTAACATTTAAATTTGCATGCTTAGCAAACAGAAGCAATTTTGTTTTATTTTAAAAATCCATGCAGTTTTATATATTCTATCTTAATTTTTATGTCAGGATAAGTCATATGGCTCATAGAGCCTTTTTGACCACATCGCACATAATGTTCACGTGTAAAGTTAAAGCAAACCTGGCAGGACTGATGAAGATACACGATTTAAGTTTATTTATATCATAATATTAGTCATGGTCACCCAGGATTTTAATAACACGTTACAGATAAACTCTCGCGTGTTTTATCTGCTTATCGCAGCATTGTTTTATCTATCTTCTTTAGAAGTGTTTGGTTGTGTCTAAAGTGGGAGGACCTTATCTGATAAACGTTTATAGGTGCGACCGTGAGAATTCCAAACAATGATCGGCCTGCTTTTGAACTGCTGTATAACAGAACTGTTGGAACAAAAGGATTCCAAGAGACGTAGAACACCATGAACAATATTTCTGTCTTGATTTGGTTCTTACTTCCATTATTGGTCCTATCTGGTAGCTATGAAGAAAGGGGTCGACAGATTTTCTATCCAAGATCTCTGCCAAGGACTGGATTTCAAAGAAGGCAATCTGAAGACACGAAGGGTATATCGCCTGATGCACGTGTTTCTAAAGGATACCACATAAATCAACTAAAACGTCAGGGCTATGAGATCAAGAAGGATGTGTATAGACGTCATATGAATCAGTCACAAAACAGGTCTATTATGCCCCAATTCGCAGGTACACCATTCAATACATCACGAAATGCATCTCTAAATTTCAACCGTACCTGCAACGATGTGTTTTACTTTGGCAACTCGAGTGCTAAGTTTGTCCTCGCTCCCCACATAATGGAGCCACTGATGAGACTGCAAATGTCCCAAGATGGAAGGAAACTGTTGACAAGTTTGTCTAACCTGTTCAGGAATATGAGCGAGAAAGACATTAACATGATATCTTCAATCCTATCACAGGGAAATGTGTACACGCCTCCATCGGGAGGTTTCATCAGTCTTTTGGATAGGTTATGGGCAACTGGAAATGGAAGCCAACTCATCTTGAGGATGGTGCGTATCCTCAACACCCTCACGTCCGGTCAAATTTTAAAGCTGCTGAACCTTATTCCAATGACCCCACAGAACACGTCTTCGAGCCTTTCACTTCTAATTCATTTCCTGTCGGACCAACCTGGACACGACCTAGTGAATGGCATATTTGGTAGAAACGTGAGTGAGAGTCTTCTGAAGTATGTGTCGTTCATAACCCAACTGCTTATAAACACTACACCCAGCATGTTTAGCCAAATCGTTGCGAATGGAAGCCGCCTGAATGCCATTTTGATGGGTAAAATGAGAAATGGCCTGACATCGGATGCCAGTACAGGTGCGTGAAAAATTTCAAAGACGGTGACCTAGTTACATAAACTGCCTAGCATTTGAAAGTACTCATCATTGTTTGATGGTGGCTAAATAGATAAAAGCAATTATGTGTTATGAGATGGTGGTGTATTTAGTATGGGTATTATAGATGTATTTCATACCTTACGTGTGCAGTGTTTCGGGTCGTTGCCACTTAGAATCATTTAGATATTATTAACGTTGGTATTTTTCGGGTCTCAATTTTCAAGCGTATACTTTCTTTTGTCTTTTTTTCCCATACTGCCATGTGGTTAACATAATAACATAGAAACGATTGTAACTGACATTTAGCACTTCTACCTTTTCGGTTTTTTGTCATAATGCATATATATGTGTTAACTGTTCCAGCCTACAGATTGAATTTTCTTTCATTTTTTGTAATCGAGTTATGTTTATCAGCAGAAAATGTCGGCTAACTCACGCAAAAGGGTAGTATATGCTTGTCTAATATATTCTAATTGAATACAGAATATAACGTTTTATGTCAATATCCCTTAAGTTATGCCATCATTATTTATCCACAATTCAGACATTGTGCATGACTAGTTATCCTCCTCTACATGGTCAGGCATGCAGAATGTCACCGTGAGGATTTCAGAAGCAGCACTTGGACAGGACTGTCAACATTCAATATGTAAAGTAAAACAGAGTGCCTGCTGTCGAGGCAATGATGGGATGTTGACGTGCACTTGTTTGTCGGGATACCTAAGATCAGTCAACGGAACATGCATTACTGGTAAGTTCACGGAAGATATGACCTACACGCATGCATGCATGCATATATGTATGTATGTATGTATGTATGTGTGTGTATGTGTGTGTATGTATGTATGTATGTATGTATGTATGTATGTATGTATGTATGTATGTATGTATGTATGTATGTATGTATGTATGTATGTATGTATGTATGTATGTATGTATGTATGTATGCACAAATGTACGAGGGGCGTCCCAAAAGTAGTCGGCCTCTTCTAGAAAATTATACAAATGCAGCTGTTTTCATGTTTTATTTTTCTACATATTATCTGTCAACTTCAAGCAAATTGCTTTTGCCATGATCCAGCCTCACGATCCCCATGTTGTTTGACTCTTTATCTTGGTATCACAAAAAATGCAAAATCTGCATAAATGCATCACAAACTTCAGGAAACAAGATATGCAAGAAACATTTTGTGTGTTTGAGATAGGCAGAAGTCCTCTAGAATCAAACGTAGATATTAAAGTGAATAAAAATGCAATTTGAAATTGCAATCGCTTGTTAAAGTGATTCCCTCATGATGTTTACTGAAAGAGCGTTTTTGAGACACTACCAAATCCCTTTCAGATGTCGTAATTATAAGGACATAATTTATTCTAATGTTTTCAATTATTCATACATGATACCAAGGGTTCAAACTAAATACTGAATGGTCACACAAGTGTCAGCACTCAATATGTTGTAAACAGTACAAGCTTGAATATCTGGACACATTGTTTTTGAAAGATTAAAATGGGGATGTCCTTTAAAAACAGCCCCGTAGAAATATAAATCAAGCAATCCAAATCTTTGAATGTTGATTATGACGGGAAGCCATCCAATACTATACTGAACATGTTTCATAACCCGTGAAGGTCCGGGTTAGAATGAACCTTCAGCACCCCATGCTTGTCGTAAGAGGCGACTAACGGGATCGGGTGGTCAGGCACGGTGGCTTGATTGACACATGACATGTTCCAAATTGCGCAGATCGATGTCTATGCTGTTGATCACTGGATTGTCTGGTCCATACTCGATTATTTACTGACCGCCGCCATATAGCTGGAATATTGCTGAGTGCGGCGTAAAACTAAACTCACTCACATATTTCATAAGATATTATCTGATTGCATACCATTATCCAAGAGGTACAAAATGACAGATCGCTTTTCACTTTCTGCAATTTTTAAAGAAATATTATACCCCAATGTGTTGTGATGACTTATATCTTGTTAACCACATTACCCACATTTTGGATATGGCTTTTTTAATGATTCCTTCAAAATAAGATGGAAGCTTTTCTAACATTGGACATCGAGAATATAGTTAGGCCGACTACTCTTGGGACGCCTCTCGTATGTATGTAGGTGTGTGTGTCTGTCTGTGTCTATGACTGAATGCATGCATGCATGCATGTATGTCATGTATGTGTGTTTGTGTCCCCTTTCCACTACCGCAAACAACCAATGGATATATTGATACCGGAAAAAGGTCCACTGATATTTATAATTTCACTATTAACCTCTGACTATTGCAAGAGCAAATTCCACGTTCTGTAAGATCACTGGTGTTCATTCACAACATTTCAGCACCAACGAAATTACTGGAAGAGACTCCGCATGAATATTGGATTCATCCCAATGCCCAGTTGGGAAAAGTCGGTAGGTGGATACCTGTATCAGTAATATTGTATCACAATGCCTTCATTCGTCATTTTTCTGTAATATATCATGCTTTAAAGTAAAGAGTACGTGTCCTCTTTTAATATTTTAACCATAGTTTCAGACGTTTACAAAGGTAACGGACAAATATCATTCATGGAAAACAGTATCCGGGAATTCATATTTGTGTACTGATTTGCCGCTGCATTAAGTAGAGAATATCTTGAGGTCAACATTATGTAATATCATAATAGGTTGAAAAGTAGAATCAGTGGGTGAATGAGTATATATTACGTTTCTATTTAATAAATTCATAGGCAACAGTAGGATATAAACCGGTATCCCTAACACATGTTGCAATTGTCTACTCACCTAACATATTATCCTAATGATCTTCAGTGGCGACGCTGCCCCTCCTCTCGTTCCCTGATGTATTAGATCATCTGTATGTCTCCGTCGACGTCTTTCCCCGAGACAGTGGTATGGCAGCCGTCGTCAACGGCAGCTACATCTTCTTGGTGCTTGTGACCCTACCGCGATACAAGACCTTTATGCTGCATATAACAGCCTCAACAGGATACACTCATATCCATCAAGTACTCCCAGTGCGGATTTCTACACTTGTCCACTCAGATCCCCAAACTGTCAGCGTCTTTGTTCTGGATGGTACTCGAAATGGAACACTGGTTGCTGACATCGTGAAGAATTTCAGTCAGGATTATCCGTATGCTCTTCAAATAACAAACACCTATCCAACTCAGATTGCTGATATCCTGTTCAGTTTATCACCACGCGGGCAATTGCTGTTGACACGTGATGTGGATCTGTCCTTACTGAGTGGGGATAACCTGACATGCTCCCTTGAGGCTTTCTTTAAAGTCACAGCTCGAGAAGAAGGATCAACCCAATCTGTGATACTGGCTAAAGTACATGTTCTCATCATAAAGAATTCATGTGATTACTTTGTACAAGAGAATGTACGAAACATATCTGTCCTGAAGAATGCATTACTGCCTTTCGATCAACCCCAGTTCATCATTAGTATATCCGATCTCAGTCCGGTCTTTAAGTATGAAAATGGTTCTGTAATACTCCAAGAATATTTGGACTTTGAAAATTCTCACCACCGCCATCTCCAGTTTTCAGTCAAGATACGAACTCGAGACGGACTACGAAGAACGTCCATTTCAGCAAATATTCATGTCGAGGATGTAAATGATGAACCGCCAGTTTTTGTGCTTCCAGTGCATGACTTCAGTATGATCAAAGGTTCTCCTAGAGGAAGCATAATTGGTATCGTGAAGGCCAAGGATCCTGATACTCCCGAACAACACCTGTCATATACCCTGTATGGACAGAACGCAAGGTTTTTCAGAATTGGACGTGATGGGGCGATAAGTGTAGATGCGATGAGTAAACCGAACAGAAATTTCAATTGACAGTTCCCAGTGGTTTAAATATGACAGTGTCCAGTGGTTTAAATTTGACCGTGCCCAGTGGTTTCAGTTTCAAAGTGTCAGTGTCTGACGGGGTGAGCCGGGCAGTTCGTGATAGTGTAATCATGGTGACCCTTATAACACGGACTATTCCAAAGAAAAACCTTCATCTGGAATTCCATTTGCGGATACCAGAACATTCTCCTCAAGGTGGTCGAGTGGGTAGTCTAAAGACAAACACTAGTGTTATAACTAATTACACAGACTTCCATATCTTCGAGGTACAGAACACACTTACGATCGACCGGAACACAGTAAGTGTTAATCATCCCGATCCTACATGGTCTTAAGAATGGACTTCCACATTGATACAATACGTTAACCTGGAAATCTACGCCAAAAGATTTCATTGTGAAGCCAACAAACATTATAATTTTTTCATGCAATTGACAATTGTATCATAAAATTAAAAGTTGTCATCACTTGCTTGACAACAACATTAGAATCTATGTCGAAACGTCGCCTTTCACAAAATAAAGAAGTTATATATCCATAAAATTATTATCAATCTATGTCGAAACGAAACCTTTCACAGAATACAGAAGTTGTATATCCATAAAAGTATCATCATTCTTCATCAACTCAACTTCTAAAATGCCCATCAAAGAAATTGATGGAGGCTGTCAATTTGATTAGTCTGTACAATTAGTAGTACAGATAAGAGTTTGTTCAATAACTAATAACATTTAGCTTTTCAAAATCTGTCTTCTTAATAGAATCGTTCTTTTGCAGATATAATGAATTACAGATGGTATCATTGCAGTCTAATTGAACAACACTCTACAGTTTACTATTATTATCATTCTGCAATGATCCATGTGCTAGCATTTGCTCAAATGCGGTTTCAAATGTGATGTTATATGCCATTGTTTTAGGAAACACTAAACTACCTTTATACGTGATTGAAATGGTTGAACTAAACGTTTGAATATTAAATCTGGTTGTGTAAGCATCATAATGATATAACTCTTTAATTCATAAACGAGTGTCAGTTCGTTGTTCCCATGTTTGCTCAGAATAACAACAATGTATGAAGAATGAACTCGGTGATATCACTATTACCTTAGCTCAAAGAGGTATCTGATAGTTGTACCTAACAAGGTGCATACTGTACATACATTTAAAGAAATAATTTTATTCATATGGAAAATATCCGCGAGCGTTTGATGGCAGTATATTTACTAGTGAAAAAATTGATCTATTCAAATGGCGTTCAAATACTATCCATAATTTCATTTTGTTTCATTTTACAGGGCAGTATCTCGATCATAAAGGATCTCGACAGAGAGTCAGGACCTTCACTCTCATTCACAATCATGGGTGTGGACAGAGATATGTACTGTGAACTGGTGGTAGATATAGAAGGCATTCAGTCTCTTTTAACTCGGAGCGATGGGGTAGCCTAGTGGCTAAAGAGTTCGCTCGTCACGCCGAAAGCGAGGGATCGATTCCCCACATGGGTACAAAGTGTGAAGCCCCTTGCAGTTGTGATATTGTTGGAATATTGCTAAAACTAAATTCATTCTTTTAATTCGGATCCTAGTTTAACCTTCTGCTAACCCAAACACCTGATGGCATCTGTTTTCAAGTATTGATATTTGTTGTCGTGTATGCCTGCCTACTGCAATTGATGTTGACAGCAACGTATCAAACAGACCTTTGTTGAAAGACAAAGTCTAGTCTATATAAACACGTCTGAAAAAAGGCTAAAAGTTTGTCTCAGTTCGAAAAAGATGCATATACAGTGGTCCCAAAAGGGTTTTTTCCTCTATAAACGTAGCCTGCTGTACCTTTTCTATCATCCTGTACACTGTCCACTGAGGAACAGAAACGACTAGCATGATGCAAACACGATAGACCTATTTGTCTGTCATGAACATACGTCCCAGGGTTCCCGAGCCACAAAGCGTTCGTAGCGCTTCGACATTCGTACGCCTATGATAAACATAACTACGTTATGAACGCTTCCTGGATCGGGTCGCTGGTATATATATATATATAGTGTTTAGGGGTTTTCTTTGCATATACTCCGTTGATGTTCCGCGTTTTCGTGAATGTGTGGCACTTTTGTTCCAAGAACCTGACGTCATATGGCAATGTCGTTACGTAGAGTGTCTGTCACGCAAGCAGCAAAACTGTGAAGTGTCAAGTCAAGTCAAAAGATGTTTATTGTATGAAAGGCCTCCGGCCCATATACATGAGAGTTACAGTGATAAAGAAATATTCTGGATATTTACATATATATTTAAGGGTATACAATACGCTTTATAAGAAGATCTCTTTTAGCTAATGCATATTTTATATATAAGGACAATCGAGCAAGAATATTTTCATTATTGGTTTGTAACAAAGAAATATATGCATAATGGGGCTGCTTTGCAAGAAGATGGTGCGGTATATACTTCTGTCTTAATTCGTGATAACAAGGACAAATCAGGGTAAAATGAATTTCATTTTCTATTCCAACGTTACATAAAGGACAATATCGACGTTCTTTCTGGACAGAAGTTTTTCTACCCTCATTAATCATTAATTGTCGATATAACAACATAAAGCTTTATGTATTTCGGTCCTTGGAATCATATGTTATCAGTGAGTGAGCAATATTCTACCAATATAAATAACGACGAGGAACACAATTCTCTTCAGACGTCGTTCCTATGGGGAACGAGCGAACGCTTGAACCGCTAGGCTACCCCAACGCCTCCATACCTTATAACATTTGACGTCTCTGGTTTAGCCTTGCTCCTTATCAATGTAGAACAAGTCTGATTAGTGGTATTATGCATGGCTCACATTCGTATGTCGTCTTCTGTGTGTCAACTTAACCAGCAATTGGGCGGGGCATTCAATCTGTTGTTCGTCGCGATTCATCTTTCTTTTCAAACCACCAACAGTAAGGTTCCATTACATGAAGGTTTGAATAAGTATGTGTATCTATATTCCAATATTTTATAATCTCAACTCTGGCTAGTCATTTAAACTATCATAACGTCCTACAAATTCATACACTATTTGACAACAAAGCATTCGCAGAATACCGGATTAATTTACAGGTTCGAATTAGGCGACTAACTGGATCGGGTAGTTTGGTTTGCTGACTTCGTTGATACATGTCACCGTGATGTCAGGCATTAGAGTTTCTGGTCCAAACTCAATTCTATTTCCAGTCGCGTTGCTGAATACTTCTGAATGCGGCATTAAACAAACACACAACACTGGTGTTAAATGCTATGAGACGCCATTTATTGTTCATAGTGTCATTTGAAATTTAAGTATTGAGAATGTTATTTAATTTTCCTTCTCAGGGTAATAATAATAGAAATATATTCAAGGCAGACAAAGTAACGGATTATCTCTCTTTCAAACAGGAATAGTGTAAGGCTCAAGTCAGTCAGTCAGAGCAGCTAATGACTAACGTTTTTATATTTTATATATTTAGCTGTTTAATGTGTAATTCAATGGTTTCATTGTTTAGATTCTTGGAACAATGCATGTTGTAATAGAGGACATCAATGACCACTCTCCTCAGTTTGACTCCAGTTCATATGACGTTTCGTTATTGGAGAACGACAGGACAACGATCTACAAACATGTGGTAAGTCTTACAAAATACAAAATGCATATTTTTACTATATTCGTTTATATAGCGTCTCTTTCACTTTATATGTAGGATTGAACACCCGTAGCCTACATGCTTGAGTGCTCACAATGTTGATCAATTAATGTGCAGTCAGAACCGGATGGATCGAACTCGGACGTGTCGAATCTCTGGCTGTACCTGAGTTTCGTCTCCGTCTGGATAAACCCTTGCGATATATGTAACTTTTTTTTACCACGATGTTTCGAAATTTCAGGCCCTTTTGAACTTTATTAATAGTGCCTACAGGGTTTTGTTTGGAACCGAAATTACCACAAACTGGAATTTGTATTAAACATACATGTAATGGCCAACACACAAAACAGACGAAGTAACATGCATGTACTACAAGGTGTCGTACGTTAGATCTGTGTTATCTGATAGCTAGGACAGACGTGTAAGAAATGTCCAACCTAGGTCAATATTTCTTTGGTTCCCAGGGTTCAGCTAGGTTCGACGTCATTTTCCTGCTCGGTTAATCTCAATGATTTGTAGCGCTAATTAAAGCTGCTCGTCTATTACTGTTAAAGGCTTAGTTCGCTGAATATCAATGACCTTTAGATATGTGTTTAGAGTTTAGGCCCGATTGATGATTGATGGTAACTGCCGACGACACACTTGATAACCGAAGTTGACCATCAAATTACAACCATCACCAGAACGCTACTAACGTGACAGCTAGCAAAACAGTGCACACGTTCGGTCCAATACAAAACTATGACACCCGTAGCATGTACATCACAATCGAATAACCGTATCATGTTTCTTTCGCCTTTTGCCACCGTGACATAAGGTGTATATTTTCTCTTGTCTCTGTATCGTTGTTTTGGGGATTAACAGATAACTGGTTTATTATTCCAAAAATATTCCACGATGATGCATAAATGATGTATTATAGATTGGTCTGGTTTCATTCGATATTTTCCTTCCAGCTCAGTGTTACAGTCTTCGATCCTGATGAGGGCCAAAATGGAAAATCACATTTTTCTTTGACCGGCCAATACCAAGACCGTTTCCAAGTGGACACTACCGATGGTAAAACTGCAAAAATATTTACAACAACAATATTTGACAGAGAAACGATCCCACGTCTGAAACTTTATCTCTTGGCCAAAGATGGCAACGCATCAGGCGTACATACGAGTACCTCAACCATCAACGTCCACGTGCTCGACGTCAACGATAACGCTCCAGTTTTTGGCCATCAGGTTGGAACTACTCTAACAATTCGTGAGAACGCAGACCCGTATTGTATAGGTAACATATCAGCTACCGATAAGGATGAAGGTGTCAACGGAACGGTGTCTTTCATCGTTGCTGGTGGAAGTGGGTATTTTGAGATAGGACGATACAATGGAATTCTTTGTTCAAAGGAGAGGGTTGATAGAGAGGTTTACAGTACTTTTAATCTTTCACTTGAAGCTTTCGATCACGGCCAACCACAACTGAAGTCATTACTACATATCACGGTCAACGTGCTTGATGAGAATGATAACCCACCACGATTTATAAATCCAGTGATGGCATCATATCCTGAAAACAAGACATGCAAATCACCAGTCATTACTATGAAGGCGGTAGATGATGATGCAGACAAAACAATTACCTACAACTTGTCAAACACTTATTTCAAGATTAACAGCACTACTGGAGTTGTACGGTGCAAGCAGCTTCTTGACTTTGAAACGCAAAGGCTTCACACCTTCACCGTGGTTGCTGTGGATTCGGGGAAGCCCGTGAGAAGTGCTTCTACAACAGTTGTGGTCTCTGTACAGGATGTCAACGATAACAAGCCTGTTTTCTCCAAATCTAAGTATGCTACACAGGTTTTGATATCACATTGGGTTGCTAACAAACCAATTCTTGTCCTCAATGCATCGGACGCCGATTCGGGAAAATATGGAGAAGTGACATTCCATATGCCCGGCCGGAATCTTTCTCAATATTTCACAGTTGCTGGAAACGTTGTTCGAACAGTAACACCACATGCTCCATCAATTGGTAACTACACGTTTAACATCACCGCTACGGACGGAAGATCACCACCAAACATAGCGAGAGCGCAAGTAGTAATATATTTATCAACTATCTCATCTTACTTTTCCCCGGATAATTCGTCTCGGCCACTTCCGTTTCGGAACTGGTTTCCGCACAGCGAGATCAGTTTTTCTGTTATTGAGAACAGAAACTACTCAACAAAGGCAATAGGCATCGTCAATGCAAACGGAACACGCATGGGCACGATCACATATGCACTCGTGGAAAAAAATGGATCATTCATTTTGAACGGCACATCGGGAAGTCTGTTTTACAGAGGTCAGTTTGACCGAGAGAAGAAGTCGCTTCATCAGCTGATGATCAGAGCCAAGCTGACGAATGGAAGTGATTACGATCTTATTCTTGTGAGTCATAGTGCATTATGTTTGCAGTTATGTCTTAGTTCCGCTGTCCTTTGATGGGTTATGTGTGTTGAACACGCTAACATATGCATAATAACTGTTCGGTTATTGATAATTGTCAGCGTATATGACATGTCTTGAAATGTCTGTTTCCAATTTTATGATATAATCTGGTTCGGTTTTGCATTTTAAATGGCAAGTATTCTTAAAGGAGCAGGGCTGGCTTGCACAAATAGGTCTTAGCGTTAGAGTGGTCGTAACTCCCATAACTTTGTGCAAGTTAGCTCAGGAACTCCCAGGCGGTGGGTTAGCCTAGTGGTTAAAGCGTTCGCCCATCACGCCGAAGGCCCGGGTTCCATTCCCTACATGGGCACAATGTGTGAAGCCGTGATTTCGGGTGTCCCCCACCGTGATATTGCTGGAATTTTGCTATAAGCGGCGTAAATCTAAACTCACTCACTCACGCAGGAACTCAGGAACTCAGGAACTCACTCAGGAGCTCCCATTCTTGTCGTAAGCGGTGACAAACTGTATCGGGTTGTCCTTGATTTTGTCACACACGTCATTGTATCCCACCTAGGTATATGGATGATAACGAATTCTGTCACTAGATCCAGATCGCCGCCACAAGACGAGAATATTTCTGACTTGGGCGTTAAAAAAAAAAACACAACATAAATACCCTTTGATAAATCATTATTACCTCTACAGAAACATATCATGACATGTTATAATCTAGACATTCCACAGGAATGATTACGATATGTTGACATCCCCTGACCCCTTCCTCAGACACGGGCAGGTGAGCTTGTCGATGTGGGACGAGTCAGAGGTTCGAATTCAATTATTAATCCCTATGATTATGAGTGTTGGATTTCCTGTACTAATATGCTCGAATCTCCCATCAGAATGACACATGTCTGTTACTTTAATCCTTCGGGGTTTCCTCTCACGTAATTCCACTTGCTTTGATATAAATGCAATGCTGCACGTAGCAGCGTTAAACCTGAGTGCTGAGTCCATTGATGTCTAGTAATTCAATCTTACTCGTTCAAGATTCATTATGTTTAACCAAATTTGGACCTTCCGTTATCAGATAAGTATCCATGTGTCTGACGTCAATGACAACAAACCACGTTTCAAACCGAGCAGCCACCTGACTATCTACCTTAATGAGACTATACCAAAAGACACTTTAGTGACCAATATCAACGCCACCGACCCCGATGTCGGACCCAACGGCAACGTGACCTATATGTTGTCACCCGATACAGGTATTTATTGACATGCTTCTACAGTGGAACCTCATTAATTCGAACTCCTGTGAATTGTTGACGATATTACTATATGTCTTGATCCATAAAAGGCATAACAAAGTTAATCTAACCCGACAAATGTTGGCACAGTAATATTTTTATAAGAAACATGCAACTTTATGAATAACAACTTCACGTTATTAATTTATGTTTTCCATAAAGCTGAATGCGTTTTGTTTAGTAATGCTAAAAGACTTCTAGAATGCCGATAAAGCAATCAGTAATAGTTCAATTCACATATATTTTTTTATACATAATGATTACATTGGGTACATTTAATTACCCTAAATGTCAGTGTGTGTCTCTCATTGCATTATCTGTTTGCCGGAGAAGACGTTTTTTTAACATTTTTGAAACGTTTGTGCTATTTTCTCAAGAATTCAAAATCGGAGCGAGAACTGGAGCAGTGACTGTAGCACAGATGCTGGATGTTGATTCGTCGAATAGCAGCCATCGTCATCTTCGGGTTATTGTAAGTATTCAGTTGAATTGGAAAATGTTTTCTAACAAATTCACGCTGGTTTGATTGATAAAATAAAACTACACGAAACATTTCACGTTTTTACGTATTTTAATGCTCACGCCGATATTATATTTATTGGTTGTCAATGGTTCTATGCCTAGATGCAGTAACTTCAGTTTTCCAAACTCGAAAACACAGTAGAAATAAGTTAACAATGTATCGTTTATTATGGAATGTTGCTCAGGCCAGAGATCAGGGAGACCCGCCACAAACGTCAACGACGTCATTACATATCGTCCTCGTGGACGTCAACGACAACGCCCCCGAATTTACCCAACCCAGATACACCTTTCATGTCAAGGAAAATGCTGAAGTTAATGACATGGTAAGATCCCATGTTATCTACTTACATCGTCAGCCATCTGAATCAACATCTGTAATCATTGTTCGGCTTTGTTCGTTTGTCATTTACTTCATCATCGATTTTCAGTGATCTTTTCATTTAATTTTGGCCGCTATTTGCCTTTAATACCCTATCGAATCTGTTTCGTTAATAATCAAAATTACTCCCTGGTGTTGACATTTATAGTTGTGTTATATATACTGATGGAAATAAATAAAGGAACATATGAAAGCAGAAATGTTCCATTATTATTTCCAAGGTTTCATCACAAGCTTTGTATCGCACTGTGGGTGAGAATCTGAGAATAGAGGAACACTGCCTTGAATGGTGTTCCTTGGTTTGTTTCCCTCAGTATATTTTAGGTCGTTCTATTCATGGTCATTACATTATATGAATCTGTACTTGGGCAAGAACATAAACCATGTACATCGATGTTAAATGCAATTTAGGGAAGCACAACATTAGTATTACATTGGCCTTTGTGTTTAAAGGTTAACCTTTTGTACATTTGTTACCTAGGTAAAAGTGAATATCTCACTGAGGGCGTATGACAGAGATTCAGAAAAGTCTACGAACGGACGCGTCATTTACGGCAGGACTATGGTTGCCGTCGGAGAACAAGGAAGCTGTCCTTTCTACGTATCAGAAAGTAACCATTACCAAATATTTCAATGCGTCAAAACTTCTAATTAATCTGATGGGTATTATATTCTTTGAAAGTGTATGTCTCACTTAAACCTGATGAACTGTGTTACATTTAATGACCCCGATGCTTCATTTCTGTGAGATGTTTTAGTGATATGTTTTTAGCACGGTTCTATATTGAAATTGCCCTGAGTGTCTGTGCTTGTTTTTGAAAGGGTTCCTCGGAGATCTAATTTCGATATATTTCTTCAACCTGGTCCTTGCAGCGTTAAACTCCATATGACTGGCACATAATAGTGATTCCTTCCACCACTACCGGGGGAGGCGTGGTAGCCTAGTGGTTAAAGCGTTCGTTTCTCACGCTGAAGACCCACGTTCGATTCCCCACATGACTTCAATAAGAGAAGCCCATTTCTGGTGTCGCGTGATATAACTGCAATATTGCTGAAAGTGGCATAAACTCACTCACTCACTCCAACACTACCGGTGTGCTTTTAGTACCTGCCACCTATCAATGAATTACTATTTTCGGATACCGACTGCCTGGTCAAGGTGTTATTGTTTACATACCACCGTCGTCCTGCAGGAATATTTCTGGGAAGGTCCTTAGGAAGCCAAAAACGTTTTTACAACGTTATGAATGGCGGGAGCTGCACCCCCAACAGTTTTCCCAAACAACTAGTAAAATAACTGATTTTATATGAACAGTTCGTAAGATTAATATCTGTATTGTGCCTATCATATGTAATGGCCATAGAATCTGTATCGGCAGATAAAACAGACTGACTATGTTCTGTTGTTGATGGTTTGAAAATTGCATATCTTCTCTTCTTGCAGATGGCGATATCAGCGTCAGTAAGAAAATCGACTACGAGACAAAACGAAAGTACACCTGCCTCGCGACTGCCTCTGATATGCCAGTCGACGGTAACAGCAAGAATGCCACAGCACTGGTGGATATCTTCTTGGATGACGTCAACGACAATGCCCCTGAATTTAAGAATATTCCACGTTTTGTCAATGTCTCTCGTGATGTTCCAGTCGGCACCGTTGTTACCGACGCCGTAGTAGCCACAGACAGCGACACCGATAGTTGTAACGGGGCGATCGTATACTCCCTCACCAGCGCTAACAGTAAGCCAACTTACTTTAAATTCCAATACGTTTCTGATATATGCTCAGCTACACCTTAGTGTAACCCACCGCCAGTAGAGGCCCTTCACGTTATGTTAGTTGCCAGCAGTTGTTGGGAAAGCCCTATTTCGTGGCGACCTCGTGTTTTCGGTGGTTCCTTCCCGGCGATTGTTGTGTTGAATTTGCTTTATACCTTCTCACTCGATACCAACTTTGCCACTTTTCTTGCTAATGACGCACAGTGGGAGAGGAAAACAAGGGCCAATCTACTACAGGGATTCGTCAATGATGGGAAAGATGTACCGGATGCTAAACGTCGTACTGCCCAGGAAAAAGTGAATATGTTAATGCTTATGCTTGGTCAAGTTGCTAATTACTGCCCTGTAATCTCACGTAGTTTCATCATCACAAATTCAACATCTGCTTCTACTATTTGGCAGACGATTCGCCTTCATTATTGATTCCAGTCATCTGGCGCACATTTCCTTGATTTTTGTGACATAAAACTTGAACCAGATGAAAGGCCAGAAGACTTTCAGCTTTCGTAGAAGACAATCTACTCATCCAATGTTGCTGTGCAGGAAGACGAAGATCTTTCACCTACCTTGGAGAATTTTGTGGTTCTGATGTGGCTACAACTTGTTCATAAGAATCTGCCTCGCATTGTACCTAAAGCCTTGACTCCTCAGTCAACTAGCGATCCACCCGCTACGGTTGGTCTGTGCTTTGAAGCCGACGTTCTCAAATGCAACCGTCAACTCATCCTCGTGGTCAGAGAAACAGTCACATCCTTCACAGCAACAGCCCTGATTGAAAATGAACGGCACGCCACACTGCGTGCTACGTTACTGACTTTATGCTTACCAATGGTTCCGCTTGACGGACCAGCCAACGTTATCAGAGTTTGGGGTTTTTTTATTTTATTTTTTTTATTGTTCCCAATGTGATGAGTACAAAAACATGATGAGTACAAGCATATAGAGGAATATGTGCACATACAAGCTAGTGGGCTCAAAAGCGATATCGTACACTAAGTACTACATTGAATATCAATATTAGTGATATGTTTTTTGTTTAATAGTCATTCAGGGTTAAATTCAGGGATGAGAGGAAACCATTTGACTGAAAAGCTTTCAACGTTATTATTTCTTCTGGAGATGAATGATTCAGTGGTAAATATGTCTTTCAATATCCTTAAGTAATTATCAACTTTTGGAATTGTTTTTGTCAAAGAGCAAGTGTAAATATACTGAGTCAAAATAGAAACTTCACAAAATGTAATTTGAAAAATAATGAATAATTTTTCTCTGATGATACATCTATGTATCCGGGAATGGGATCCCTATCTTTCGACTCTAGAAAAACGTTAGCAAAACCCACTCAAACCCATCCATTCGTCGTGCAAATGATGTTAGTGGCAAATCAGGTTTTGCACGTGCAGTCGATCACGTGATCTTCGCATCGAAGTTTTCTTCATATGCACGTGTTTGCATTGGCCTCCAGAATTGACAAAAACACTTTTATACCACAGTTCTAACGGTACTTGAAATGCCACGATTGTCAAATGTGCAACGTGAACGTGCCGTTGGCATGTTGCAAGCGGCAAGATCAGTTATTGACGTCGCAAGAGCAATGGGATGCAGCCGTCGTACTGTGTATGACTTGCGAGGTCGACTACAACAAACTGGCACCACTTCTGATCGCCCAAGGTCGGGTCGTCCACGTGTGACGTCACAAGCAGAAGACCGTCAAATCGTCCTACGTCACCTACGTGACAGATTTCTGCCGCCTACACGAACCAGGCCTGAGATGTTTAGAGGTCGACTGCCCTCACAGACCATTCGAAATCGGTTGCGGGCTGCCAATCTCCATTCTCCACGTCCATATCGTGGGCCAATATTGACGCCGTTTCATCAACGTCAACGTCTGCTGTGGGCCCAACGTCACCTCCGATGGAACCAAAGAGACTGGAATCGAGTCGTCTTTAGCGATGAATCCAGGTTTACCCTCAGATTCGCGGACGGCAGGCATAGAGTCTGGAGACGACGTCGTGAACGGTATGCCCAATGTTGTGTACAGGAAGTCGACAGATTCGGGGGCGGAAGTTGCATGGTGTGGGGTGCTTTCTGTGGGAACAACCGTTCCCGACTTCTGGTCATTCGTGGAAACCTCACAGCTGCTGCTTACCGCGACCAGGTGCTCACCCCTGAACTCGTTCCTTTCATGGCGGCTCATGGCCCAGGTCTACAGTTCCAGCATGATAATGCTCGGCCGCATACCGCGATGTTGACACGAAATTTCCTTCAAAACGCTGGTATCAACGTCATGGACTGGCGATCGAGGTCCCCTGACCTTAATCCAATAGAGCACGTTTGGGATGCACTTGGGAGACCGCTTCGTGGTCTTAGGAATTTGCAGGAACTTGGCGCTGCCTTGCAAGAGCAATGGCGCAGAATCCCCAACCACGTGTTCACAAGCATCAGGCAGTCGATGAAGAGACGGTGTTTGGCAGTGGTGAATGCGCGGGGCGGCCATACACGATACTGAACTGAGAAATTTCGCATTTTTATTCTTGTGACTTGACATCCTGTATACCCATGTTTTGGAACGGCGGTGTAGCCTAATGGAACTGATTATGGCTCTGTCAGTGTATCGAGTACATAACACAGATCTCAGCAATGAAATAATAACAATTTAACCATCTTACCATCTCTTGTTCTTTTATAGTGCCCTGAAGAAAGAATGTGAAGTTTCTTGTTTGACTCAGTATATATCTCTTAGCAGATAGGATTATGTGGTTCAATAATGGGTTCTTACCTAAAAAGCCAAACCAGATCAAAGATTTTGTCAAATTAAGTGTTTGGATACGTTTCGTAATCCACTGTTCAAGTTTCTTCAAAAAAGTTTTGGTTTCATCACATTCCCAATATACATGGCATAAGGTTTCAACAGAATCATTACACAAATAACATATTGTATTGTCCACCAGATTCATTCTAAAAAGTTCTTATTTGGTATAAACAGTTCCGTGCAGAAATAGATATTGAAAATCTAACCGTTTCACATCTCTTAAATTCTTTCTACAAGTATGAAAAATCAAATGCGAATCAAAATCAATACAGTCAAATAATGTTTCCCATTTTCGGCACATGTGAGGTTTAACATCTCAGATAACAATTTATCATAGAATAATTTTGAACCTTTTCTTGGGGATATGAAATCCTTTTGGAGTGAATTTATTGTTAGGTCATTAATGTTTATATATCTATATTCCTTTAAAGTCTTTTTCCAAGGTTCAGGTAAAATATATATAACATATCCAAGATCTAAGTGACGTTATCAGAGTTGATCCAGCACCAGGATTCTCTGCACTTCAAAATGATATCCTCCTACTTAGCCATAATCTTGTCATCGAAGTTGGCCGAGCAAAATATCTAGATAAGAATCCCGTCGCTGAGGGGGCCATACAGGAACTGAAGAAATAACTCCTTCTCCAGGATCCCCTCGGCAGCTCTGTATCCTCACTTACACTCGCTGTGTCTACCTGCCGACTCAACACCCGCCTAAGGGCACGTGGTCTGCCCTCGCGTGAGATGTGGACCCAAAGAGATCAATTTACTAACAGTCACATATGCATGGATGACATGAACTTGATCCAAGTCCAACATGACCACAGACTCTCAAACCATCCATACAGTGAAGCCTCAAAGTGTCCCTCTGGTAGAGTGATCCCTCCCCCAGACATCTCAGTGGGAGATGTAGATTACCTTTATCCTGACAGAGACAAAACCAAGGGTCGGAGTCGATACCTTGTGATCAGCGTTGATTCCCCGTGGTGTAACATACGAAAGTTCAGTTGCAACCAACTACGGCACACCTCTTACAGAGTGCGATTATCGGACTGTTACCGTGTGCCCTGTCGGGTACCTCCTGCCTCTACATACCTACATGGCGATGACTGATCTGAAGATAAGGCAACAAAAGATCTGGCAACAAAAGATCACCGCCTAGATTACCAGCAGTACCCGTAGAACTCTCCACCCCCGCACGGCTCCATACTATCGACTACACACCCTGTCAACCATCCTCGGACAATCAAGATCCCCCCAGTGCTGAAGCTGAGCCTACATCTCCTCGTGAGACTCCCAACTATGCTTCTTATCAGGAGGAAGATGCGCAGTCAAAGTGGCCACAGAGACTCAGAAAACCTCCCAGATGCTTTGACGACTGTTACATGGACATTTGATATTTCCACGTAAATTGTGACGGATTATCCGTATTGACTTCTTCACATGAACGTTATGTGCCCTGATGAATGCAGTATCATCAGCATTTCCCCTGTTTTATGATATATGTTTCCACTTCTCATAATACAAGAGAAAAGGAAGTTGCGCCAGTACAGGCCCTTCACGTTATGTTTGTTGCCAGCAGTTGTTGGGAAAACCCTATTTCGTGGCGACCTCGTGTTTCCGGTGGTTCCTCCCCGGCGATTGTTGTGTTGACGATCACAGATTAAAGTGTGTTAACCTAACCTACGTTAGTTTTCGGTCGTTGTCACTCACTGGGGCACTCTTCCTGTCAAGCAGCTTTAAAGTGCATTTCCGTTATACAACAGAATGTCAGAGCAATGACAGAAGAAAACCAGAATGTTTCAGGACGTTGACCAGGATAGCGTGCGTGGTGATGGCAGGTTTCGGCCGTGCCCAGTGGATGCAACTTCGTACAGAATATTTAGACGCCTTGGGCTTTCCACAAAGTAGTTAATCTGTCAGGCTTGTATTATTTTGGGCTTTTCTCTCACATCAAGATGGCATGTGTGTTATCTTGCCTCACGCATAAATGTCGTTTTCTGATTGGCTGAGCGCTCTTCTATTATTTTCCATGTACCCCGCTTACAAGCGAGAAACATTTTCTATGTGCCCAACTGAGAACGCCAAACCCATTTGATACTTCGTAGTCTTAATTCTTTATCTCGAATAACATTGAATCACGTATGGTGCACGGAAATTACCAATGTTTTGCGAATGCAAATTGATGGAAGGGAGATAACTTTAAATTTGTTTTCTTTGTCTTGTCGTCTGGTACTTCATACTATGATCCGATACCCGTGCTTCAAACAGTTCATAATTACCATTGAGGTGTTCGGTAAGATAAATACGTTGTTCACTGGTCCCTCGGGGCCCATGGGTTGACCCTCGATGTTTGATTATGTTTCCTGAGCCCGAAGGGACATGTCGTGATGTAACTGAAATAATGATCAGGTCGGTGTTATACTCAACTCATTCAAGCCTTTACTTGTGCTGGATGTGATCAGCAAACGGGAACCATCCAAAATATCAACTGTTTACGCTATTTTCATATTTGTTTCAGAATGACTTACTGAGTATTATTATGTTTTGTTTCTTTTTTGTTTAACGTCGCACTCACCAATATTCCTCCTATATGGCGAACCTCTGTAAATAATCCAGTCTGGACCAGACAATCCAGTGGTCAACAGCATGAGCATCGATCTACCACCTGACCACCTGATCCCGTTAGTCGCCTCCAAGCCTGGGTTCAATATAGAACAAACTTTATGGATAACGTCTTTAAGGAACTCCATTCCTGCTTGACAGCGGTACAAGAAGTTTGTTCTATGTTGTACCTCCCACCTTCTAAAATGTCACTCAAAGAAGTTACGAATGGGTTGCTTAAGACCAATTCTAACCCGGACCATCACGGGTGAAGTATTTAATATCTACTTAAATGAGACTTAGGCACTCCTGACCCTCAAATGACTGTGGATTGTTTGTTAACAGGAAGGTATTTCAGCGTTGATGCCCTTTCCGGGAATATAACCGTCCAACATCCTCTCTGGGCCTTGCCTCCGGTAGTGACACTGACTATCGTTGCAGTAGACATGCCACAGTTCGACGCCCCTCTGAATAACTCTGTACACGTAAGTAAGCAATAAACACTATCTCATACAAGGCACTTAACTTATTCCGCATACGTACTTCAGCACTGAACACTTACGTGTACAGCTGTACGTTAACAGCGAACACCCCCGCATATGTACATTAACAGCGGACATACCGCATACGTGGATCAGCACTGAATACTTCTAGAGTGCGTATACATACAAAGGCATTTAACGCTTCCACATACGTACGTTCACAGCGAACACCAACGCATACGTACGTTAACAGCGTACACTCCCAGTTACGTACGTAAAATTGAATATACCACTATGTAACAAGAACTAGCACAACCCTAGAGTATCCAAAGCTGTTTCAGTTTTACATTATATATGAAAGAAATAAACTAAGTATACATTTCAATAAATATGTTTTATCACGATATTTACAGGTGGTTGTAGGCATTTATGGCAACATTCGGGCACGGTTTGTAAAACCTCGATATACAGCAACAGTCCAGGAGGAGGCCGACCCAGTGAGTGATATTGTGCAGGTTGTTGCAACAGGACATCACTACAGCCAAGGAACCGTCAGCAGTCGGAGATACGTATACTCACTGCAGGCTGGACGTGAGGATCTAAATACTATAGTTCTACATTAATCTCGACTTTCGTTACCTGTCGAGTTCCAAATTGCAATTATTATTAGTTATCCCTAAAATCCACAGGTAACAGAGTTCAATATGAAAGCAAGACACAGGATCGAAGTGGTGCTCAATTACGACTTCCATTACCAGTATGTCTTGTATACAAATCAATTTATATTACTACAAAGTAATTACGATGATGTTACACAATTGGATGGCAGTACCACATTCAGTGACGGTACAGTTACAAAGGCAGTATTAAATACAAAAGGAGTGGTAACAGCAAGACTGGTCTCACGTCCTACAGAGATCATGCTGTTGATCACTGGATTATCTGGTTCAGACTCGATTATTTACAGACCACCGCCATATAACTGGAACATTGCTGATTGCGGCTTTGAACAACAAACCATCCAACCAAATACCACCTAGGCTACCAGAGACATAGCCTGGTCTTGATGTAATGCGCGGGGAAAGAGTCTCGTGCTTGCCCACATATAGTCGACATACCTTCCAGAAACTTCTTCCGTCACGCCGAAGACCCGGGTTCGAATCCCCACATGTGTACAATGTGTGAAGCCCATTTCTGGTGTCCCCCGCCGTGATGTTGCTTGAATATTGCGGCGTAAAACCAAACTCAGTCAGTCAGTCAGTCCAGAAACTTCTAATCTATGCTGAATCATTCTAAAGCTGCTCTGCTTACTAACTACACCTAACTCCAAAGCATCAATACACACACTTCCACACCATTCTTACATCAATAACACGTACCTCAAAACTAAATACTGTTAAAACAAAATAACATGAACTTCTACTGAATCTCAGCAAAAAGGATGTAATACAGTTACAGCATTGTTGAGACATATGTTACACTGCCTCGAAACACTACATTGTGCACATTATGCTACGAGCAACCGAGTACAAAAGTGTCTATATTTCCAAAGCAGTGCATTGAATGAGAGTATTGCGTTAAGCAGAACAATTTAAAGATCCTTAGCAGAGGTAGATATATCAAGCATTGATGCAGTTCTGTATTGATGGGTCAGGATGTATCAGTTATTACAGAATCATTATAAGGTCTGACATCAGAAGAACTTGGCAGAGTAATTTTGTTTTGTGTCTCCTATTCAAACAAAGGAGTAGTATATTAAAATATTTCGTTCGGAAATTTAAGGATTTTAATAGTATACAGGGCAGACATTGACAAGTCACAAACTATTGGAGCGCCAAACTAATAAATAACATAAAGAATGATTGTAGGCTTTTTGTATCAGTTGAGCTAACCAGAGAAATGGTGAATCTATTAGTGACGGCAATGTTTCTCTTTCAAAAAGGTTCGTCGTCGTTTTGAATTATCTTAGGTAAAGGGCTGAGTTGATTCCGAATAGCAGGTAATCATTATGACCTTAATGTGACCTGGCCTTTTCAGAACAAGATCAGGACAACTGATGTCCATGATTGTGTTGCTAGATAAGCTAGGTCTCGACTACACACTGTAGTGTGTAGCATCGCTTCACTTAAAAGCCTTCTCAAGTTCTAGTTCAATCTTCCCGGATCAGAAAGTGCAGGGTATCAGTGTCAGAACCGCAATTACAACGTCGAGACTGGAAATTGGCTTCACAATGATCTCACTGATAACAACCTGCAGAGTTGGGTTGCATCTCTACTGGTCAAGGTCGGTGGGGAAGCCTTATGGTTAAAGCGTCTACTCGTCACGCTGAAGCCCCGGGTTCGATTCCCCACATATGTACAATGCGTTAAGCCCATTTCTGGTGTGATAATGATTTGTTATTACTGAAATATTGCTAAAAGTGGCATAAAACCATACTCACTCCCTCTCCCTCCTGGGCAGAGTTCTCCCACTACTTCCGTATCAACAACTTCAACGGGATGGTGAGTCAGATGCGGCCAGTAGACCGGGAGGTGACGGGGGGCTCCATACCACTGTACGTCACGGTGACGGAAGGAATGTCTCCAACCAGCATGGACACTGCCGTCATCAACGTCACTGTAGATGACATCAATGACAACGTACCCATATTCACATCAAGGCAACAAAAACAGACATTTGTCATTAATCAGGTGGTGCAGCAATTCATTGTAATATGGTTCCATAAGCGAATAAGCAAACATATAAAATTGACAAAATGACCTGACGCTATGTATTGGTATTAATTGACGCAAAACGTATAGGGGATGAAAATCTGTGAGATTAATGTAAAGGAATTCATCTGGAGGCTGACGTTGATCACTTGACGCTGATGTTTCAATGTTTAATTTAGTGTCATATTGAAATGATATTTGATAACTGACTATAAAGTAAAATCCCATAGGTAATTCCTCATTTCCAGTCAGTTTACCTCTTCCATCGGGAAGATGGTGACAGTATCACATGTGAACGGTTTGGTATTTGCTAGGATAACGAATAAAAGGCTGGATAGAGCCCAGAGTTTTAGATGGCAAATGCTTTAAATGGCCTCAAAAACAAATAATGCCGCTATTTGCACACTGGCGTGTCATCAGTCTACTCATGAGAACATTAGGGACATGTTTCTCACATTATAAGCTGCTTTAGATATTACGGCAAATATTAAGTTAAGTTGAAACCAATGTGCTTGAAGTGCATCCTGTGTGCTATAAGCACTCAAACTACGTAATGTCATTATTTGGTTCTGCAAACACATGAAGACGATCAGTTTCCGGGAAAGATTATTTCTGCCTGGAGGTTTAGTCCAACAGCTATTCAGTCGTGTGTGGTGCTATCGTTTCGAACCTCCGTTTAACGCAGTATAACGTGCATAAGAACGTCATTTTGCAACACTTAACGACACTCAGTACTTCATTGATCAGTTGCTATCAATAAATATTTATTTTAATGATCTGCAATGAATCGCATATGTTTACTCTCAAATTACTTCCAAATACAGACTGCCGTTTTGGTATAATTTTAACAGAACACTTCTAGTTACTTGACATTATCGTTTTCCATCAGACAGCTCACGTGGGTAGCGTGATTGGCCGAATTGCATCCTTTGACCCCGACGACCCCGCAACGTCGTCCGCAGTGTACAGACCGATTATAGCCAATAGGAGCATCTCGTTGGACTCCTCCGGTGTGCTTACAGTTAAAGAACCGTTGGTCAAGCACGGAGTTGAGTTCTACACAATACAGGTAAGGGCCATTTGACGGGGATATGCATATTACCATCATATGTCATGATCAGCGTTCAGTACCACATTTTTGCCCATTATGAATACCTGCAATAATTTTCATGTTGACCATACATTTGAACAGGAATTTAATGACTGTTTTGTAGTAATACTATTCCGTACAGACAAAACAACCAACCGTTGCAGATTACATGTGGATTTGCAGATTACATGTCTATTAGTCCAGGAGGAGGCAGCTGAAAAATTTCAAATCGTAGCCTCCCCAGTACTGATTTTGTTTGACACTATTTTCAGTTAGTATGATGTCTTGGGCTCATGAAAAGGCCTGTAATACTCTCAGATTGTGGTATCAGTTTTTTACAGGCCATTATATGTGGTGGGGGTCTGGGGGCATTTTCGTCACATTTGGTTTGCTGCCCGACAACACCTCAAAGTTAATCATTAATAGTTTTACTACTATCAATCTGATCACTTTCATTTTGACTTCTGTGCACTGCTAAAGGATGTAGAAATTATTTGACATAATTTTGTTTTGTAAAAAAAATCAAAATGGCCGCCATTATGGCCGCCATTTTGTTTTGTCGTGTTTTGCCTTCTCAGCACTTAAATCTACATAAAATGTACACCGAATGTTTCCATTTACATCCAATGTTGATACTTTTGATGTGTTTTGACACTTGTTTCTCCTAGAATGATGGCTTGGGCACAAAACAAGTCATTTTGTATGGTCATAGCATGGTAATTTAATGTTTTACAGCTTATTCTTTGAGACAGGGGTATTTTGGCATTTCTCAGACTTTTCATGGAAATGTGTCAGAGTGATTTATTTAATGGCAGTTAACAATATATTTTGTTACTAAAACAAGTTGTTTTGTTTTCTCTTTACTTCTAGAGTGACGGCATGTTATTAGGAATGTTTACATATTACCCAGAATTCAAAATGGCCGCCATTGTAGTTTAACTACATATACTTAGTGGAGGACTAAATTTGTACTGATATGAAATCCAAACAAATCATTTGGTGTCTAATGTTTAATACAGTATAGGAATAGAGCTAAATTTCAATGATAGGGTCATTCAAAGCTTCACACTCCTAAAATATATGATGAAATAACATTATCCAAAAGTGTTTGAAAACTATGCTTCATGGCCGATAACTACGTCTAAGCTTTGGTTGTAGGTATTCAAATTGTTCTATCAGATAACTCTTAATCACTTTTGATACATCCATAAGCTTGCAATTAACCCTCCTTTTCACTTTCTTTCATTTCATATGTTACTTCATGTCACAATCGGACCTGCAGAGATCCGGGTTAGAATTGATCTTCAATAACCCATGCTTGTCGTAAGAGGCAACTAACAGGATCTGGTAATGTTGTCAGGCTCGCTGACTGGGTTGACACATGTCATCGTATCTCAATTGCACAGATTGATGTTCATGCTGTTGATCCCTGGATTGTCTGGTCCAGACACGATTATTTACAGACTGCCGCCATATAGATGGAATATTGCTGAATGCAGTGTAAAACTAAACTCACTCACTCACTCACTCATGTCAGAATCGGAGTCATCTACTGGCAACAAGTAAAATGTGTTCGGGCAACAATCATCTGCCATACAAAAAGACATGCCTATGTGCACACTATATCATTCTTTCTGCTGGCATGCTGACTTTTTGCATTTACACGATGTCAGTTCAACCTATCCACGGGGAGCAGGATCTCTCGACATCAGAATAGCTGACCATCACACATGCTCCAACCATGGTCAACTGGTGAAGGGATGTTCATGATTGGTTGCAGAGACTGTTTCCAAACATGGACTTGGTAGTTGACTCTTTCAATGTGATGTTTTAGACTGTTGGATGTTGGTGGGAGGTTTTCATTCAATATCTTGTGTCATCTACAGACATCACTGGATTATTTGGTACATGGATAGAACTCACAAACTGGCCACAAGATATAATGAGTGTTTCTTGAACATCCAAATTGTCATCCATTTGTTGTGTGAAGCTTCTCATCCCTGGGCTTTACATCCTTTTTGAATGTCAATGTCAATTGTGTCAATGTTTGTTGGTGATTTTCAGAGGACTTATGTAAGTCAATTCCCCATGTCGAACGTTCTACACGTTCTAAAATGGGACGGAGTAATAACGTACTTAAAATGAGATTGCCATACTAAGAACGGAATTGCCATACTACGAACGGAATCGCGGCGCTTCAATTTTACTGGGTATGTGTGAGGACGAAGTGCAGTCCGGCATCAATTGCAATACGTTTGTACACAGTTTCCACCTGGTCCATCCCGTTTGCAGAACTCTACTGAACTCTAGTTAGTCGTTATTCCAAGCAAATATGTTCAAAACAAAATGAATCGTACTGAAGAAACTTGTAGTACACGGTTCTAACAGTTTGCAGTTGGTTCTCATCACGTTCTACTCGTTGTTAGTATGTTTATGTAGTTCTCATGCAGTTCTTACTATGTCAACACTGTGTGCATTACGATATGACAAGGTAGGGTATATATACATGCGTTTTTAACATGGTCGTCATTTGGGATAGAGTTTCTATGAACAAGTTTGCAGCTGTTAGAAAATTGAATGCTGGTTTCCTGTAATTTTTATCGGAAGCAGAGCAAGAGTACAATGAGTTGGTAGAGCAAGAAAGAAGGGAAACACAAGAACTTGTTGGGTGAGGAACTGGCTTAAACCTGAGAGGTGAATAGCTGTGGGATATTATCATCAACTGATGGAGGAGCTCCGCCTTGATGATCATGAGCCCTTCTACAACTTCTTGAGAATCACCCCACCCATGTTTGATGAACTTCTTGAACGCATTGACCCCTTTATAAATTAGATGTTCACCCTTCTTCCTTGGAGGCATGGTGATGTCAATGTTTCTACCTTGAAACTGAGAACGGAATAAGAATGGGCAGGGTATTTATATAAATCGAACCAGGAAGTGATTGCTATTACGATTGCACACACTAGAAACGGAGTGAGAAAGTAGTGAGAATGGGAAGAAGTGCCTGAAAATGAGTTGGTTTAGAAGAATGAGTTAGAACGGGGTTGTGCGCATTAAGAACGAGATAGGTTTAGTTCAGAAGGGATATAAAGTGACTATGGACAGGATTGGACTGCTTGAAAACGTTGTCCACACGGGGTGAACGGGCAATTTTACCCACTCTAAACGTAACACCAACTGTCTGAGGACAGGGTAAAAACGAGACAGACGTACTGAGAACTGTTTATGATCAAACTAGCATTGTAATTTATACAAGTTACATGTTCTATCCCGTTCGAGGTCACTTTACAGTTATTGTTTGGACAGGGCAGGACGTCCTAAGAACTACATTGGCGTGACTCAGGCTTTACCAACAGGTAGCATGGCTGGACAAACAGAACACCATCGTTCGTTCATACATGCTACAAAACTAGACTTGTTGACAGGACTGCTGGTGTTTTTTTCCCCATTGTCTTGGCAGTGGTTTGTTTTTGCCAACACTCTTGACTTCTAGCGCCGTTGGCGATCCTCTTTTGATTTGCTCCCCTGCTTTGATTTACTCTTGTCTGGCATACCTGTCCCAAACAACATCAACTCTAATACAGTCTGTTCGATTCAGAACTGAAGTGAAGTTGTCCCAATGCATATCAGCCAAGTGTCCAAATGTGGAAGCAGCTCCCTTTCTGAACATTTGCAATTTTGCCATTCCATCAACTATATGAACTGGCAACATTCTCTCTTCTGCTAGTATAAGCAGCGAAGGACCAAAAGCTTTTAAAGTTCATTTAACAAACCGCTTTTGATGTTCTTTCTTAATGTTCCATCTGAATGGGCCATTGTAAAATGAACACTAGAAATGTCCATGTTCACATCAGGGTTGATGACAAATCCATTCAATCTTCCAAATGAATGATGTCTGCATCTTGTGAACATTGGAAGTGGAGTTGTTGTCCCAGAGGATATGATTCACAGCCTCTTGCATGTTAAACAGATTGGGGCAGAGCAAAGGGATAACATCATAAGTAGTCGATTGAACTCTTCCCAGGACAAACTTGTGGTCACCTTTACATCGACTGAACCTGAAAACCATTTCTACATTGATTCCAAAAAAAAGGATGTAAAGCCCAGGGATGAGAAGCTTCACACAACAAATGGATGACAATTTGGATGTTCAAGAAACACTCATTATATCTTGTGGCCAGTTTGTGAGTTCTATCCATGTACCAAATAATCCAGTGATGTCTGTAGATGACACAAGATATTGAATGAAAACCTCCCACCAACATCCAACAGTCTAAAACATCACATTGAAAGAGTCAACTACCAAGTCCATGTTTGGAAACAGTCTCTGCAACCAATCATGAACATCCCTTCACCAGTTGACCATGGTTGGAGCATTTGTGATGGTCAGCTTATCCTATTCTGATGTCGAGAGATCCTGCTCCCCGTGGATAGGTTGAACTGACATCGTGTAAATGCAAAAAGTCAGCATGCCAGCAGAAAGAATGATATAGTGTGCACATAGGCATGTCTTTTTGTATGGCAGATGATTGTTGCCCGAACACATTTTACTTGTTGCCAGTAGATGACTCCGATTCTGACATGAGTGAGTGAGTGAGTGAGTTTAGTTTTACACTGCATTCAGCAATATTCCATCTATATGGCGGCAGTCTGTAAATAATCGTGTCTGGACCAGACAATCCAGGGATCAACAGCATGAACATCAATCTGTGCAATTGAGATACGATGACATGTGTCAACCCAGTCAGCGAGCCTGACAACGTTACCAGATCCCGTTAGTTGCCTCTTACGACAAGCATGGGTTATTGAAAATCAATTCTAACCCGGATCTCTGCAGGTCCGATTGTGACATGAAGTAACATATGAAATGAAAGAAAGTGAAAAGGAGGGTTAATTGCAAGCTTATGGATGTATCAAAAGTGATTATTAAGAGTTATCTGATAGAACAATTTGAATACCTACAACCAAAGCTTAGACGTAGTTATCGGCCATGAAGCATAGTTTTCAAACACTTTTGGATAATGTTATTTCATCAAATATTTTAGGAATGTGCAGCTTTGAATGACCTTATCATTGAAATTTAGCTCTATTCCTATACTGTATTAAACATTAGACACCAAATGATTTGTTTGGATTTCATATCAGTACAAATTTAGTCCTCCACTAAGTATATGTAGTTAAACTACAATGGCGGCCATTTTGAATTCTGGGTAATATGTAAACATTCCTAATAACATGCCGTCACTCTAGAAGTAAAGAGAAAACAAAAACAACTTGTTTTAGTAACAAAAATAATGTTAACTGCCATTAAATAAATCACTCTGACACATTTCCATGAAAAGTCTGAGAAATGCCAATATACCCCTGTCTCAAAGAATAAGCTGTAAAACATTAAATTACCATGCTATGACCATACAAAATGACTTGTTTTGTGCCCAAGCCATCATTCTAGGAGAAACAAGTGTCAAAACACATCAAAAGTATCAACATTGGATGTAAATGGAAACATTCGGTGTACATTTTTATGTAGATTTAAGTGCTGAGAAGGCAAAACACGACAAAACAAAATGGCGGCCATAATGGCGGCCATTTTGATTTTTTTTACAAAACAAAATTATGTCAAATAATTTCTACATCCTTTAGCAGTGCACAGAAGTCAAAATGAAAGTGATCAGATTGATAGTAGTAAAACTATTAATGATTAACTTTGAGGTGTTGTCGGGCAGCAAACCAAATGTGACGAAAATGCCCCCAGACCCCCACCACATATAATGGCCTGTAAAAAAAACTGATACCACAATCTGAGAGTATTACAGGCCTTTTCATGAGCCCAAGACATCATACTAACTGAAAATAGTGTCAAACAAAATCAGTACTGGGGAGGCTACGAAATCCTATTTCTAGGCCCCTTTTGAGATTCTCCTCCTGGACTATATATTAATATCTGAAATCTTGTCGGACAACATTTCTCTCAAAATGGCCATAAATGTCAACGGTAACACTACAAAGATAATATATGCTCAGTAAATACTTTATATCAAATACCATGGGCGTAAATATAAGAAGTCAATGTGAAAGAATTAACCAGTCTCCACATCATCAGAACTTTTTTGGTGTAAATGGGAAAATAGCTGCGATAATTATATAAATTCATCGCAGAAAATAAGTGATGACACCAGGTGTTTGCCAAAAGGGTAAGCATATCCCGTCCTACCAGTAGCACTCGCCATTCACAAAATCTGCCAAGAAATAGCCGTAGCGTTTGGCTGACGTCGCACAGCTGTATTCCTGCCTGCGGCCTGTAAACAAACCAGACAATGAAGTGATCTATGGACGTGAGGGTCCAGCCAGAAAATTGTGAATTTAGTGTGGTATGAAGAACTGCGGAAATTGATTTGCTTATAAGCAAAGAATATCGTTTGAAACATAAATTTGATTTTATTTGTTGGGGGTCACTGTAAATGTCTCGGGACCAAACATCTCTTCAGTTCGGTTTTCTGCTTGTTTCCTTACAAAATAAATGTCCTTCGTTTTATTAGTTATTCGAAATAGAATCGGCATTCGGTTTGCAATTTGATTATTGCTTCTCGTCAGAGTCGACTAATTTGGTCATGCTCGTTGACATGCCTGGTTGCATGTCATCGTATCCGTACTACGTAGACCAATGCTAATCATAACTGTATCACCAGATTGTATGGTCCAGACTCGATTGCCTTACAGAATATTAATGTGCATGGTAGAAAAAAAACACACACTATATCCTTATCATGACCTCGTCAGTAATTTTCATATCTTGAAATGTCTTCTCGAATATCAGCTGATGGTAGGCGTGTCTGATGGCTCCAAACTCCAGGGTGTGTCCGTTTACCAGCTCACGAACCAAACCACGTCCGCCCTTGTTATCATAAATGTCACGCAGGTGGGAAACTCTCACGCTCCAATCTTTACACAAGGTAACGTTGTTCTTCATGTCTATTATATCGTTGTGACCTTAAAGGGAGGTGGGGTCTTTGTTGAACAAGCCAAGTACTAATCGGCGTATTTAAAGTTTCGCGTACGTTTTGACGTCATTGCTGGTTCGGTTACTGCTAATTATTAGAATCTAATTATCTGATCCTATTTTGACTTTTAGAACAAGCAAAGTTTGTGAATGTTTGTTTGAAAAGATATCATTCTGACAGCAAAAACACTTCAGCATCTCATTTAATATACTATCGAACACGGGGCGGTGGGTTAGCCTAGTGGTTAAAGCGCTCGCTCGTCACGCCGAAGACCCGGGTTCGAGTCCCCACATGGGTACAATGTGTGAAGCCCATTTCCGGTGTCCCCCCGCCGTGATATTGCTGGAATATTGCTAAAAGCGGCGTAAAACTAAACTTACTCTTTACTCACTGTGACCTTACGGTATAGCTCAGTATAGCCACCCTTTAGCCTTAGCTTACTGCAACGTATTTCATAATATGTCTGCATAGAAAACGTATTGAGATGAAATGTCATGAACATTTGACCAAAAGTGACCAATGTGTGGACAACAGATCAGAATCAAATAGAGTTGCATTTATTATTTTTTTTCTGGACATTGAATGGTTGTATGATAGAAATACTTATTAGATGTTTAATATATACTATACTACGTATTCGTTTAGCACATGTTGCATTATGTTTATTCCTTGTTTAGACATATATGGAGCAAACATCTCCTCAACATCCCGTCAGGACCAAACCATCCCTATCCCTGAGTTCAACGCAAATGACGGAGACGGCGACAACATTACATACTCCATTGTGTCCGGTAACGTCCGGGTATGTATTATCAAGCCACAAGAACCCCGAGATTATATTGAAACAATTGACTGTACTCTGGTGTATAGTTCAAGCTGTTAACAATCTGCGTGTATTTGCGTTAGATTACATGAATGAGTCTTACGCCACTTTTAGCAATAATCCAGCATATGACGGCAGGGACACAAGAAATGGACTTCACACATTGTACCCATGTGGGAAATCAAATTCCGGGGCTTGGGCGTGATGAGAGAACGCTTTAACCACTAGGCTACCTCACCGCTGCTTAGATGACACAAGATTTAGCTTTACGCCAGTTTGACGGTATTCCGATTATCCTACGCTGTGTAATCTTGGGGCGGTGGGGTAGCCTAGTGGTTAAAGCGTTCGCTCGTCACGCCGAAGACCCGGGTTCGATTCTCCACGTAGGTACAATGTGTTAAGCCCATTTCTGGTTGCTCCCGCCGTGATATTGCTGGAATATTGCTAAAAGCGGCGTAGTGCACTCACTCACTCACTGTGTAATCTTAATATGGGAGGAAGCCAGAAATGGTTCAATTCACAGGTATGGTGCTAACAAACTTGGAAATATAATTTGAGCAAACTGGGATTCGAACTGACGCCCTTAAAACCTTGATGTCCGACAAATGCAAACTGTGCATGCGATTTGATCCTCAAAATATCTTAAAAAACTGGTCTGTTATATAATGTTGGATATTTTGCCTGCATGTCATTTTATCGTGATCGTGTTACATTGCAGGATATATTCCACGTGGACAGAGTGTCTGGAGTTATCTCCATCCAGTATGACCTTGACAGTACAATTCCTCGTGTAATAAACCTCACTGTCGCAGCGGTGGACAGTGGATCTGTATCAAAATCTAGGTCTGTTATCCCTGGGAATATATTATAGTTCATCAAGCGCAAACTTCCTCCGTGGTCATATTCCCGGCTGTGTCATACCAGAAAACGTGGAAATATAGTATTCGTTTTCACTCTGCCTGGCTCTAGAAACGTAATGGGGTCAAACGGCTAACATTGTGTCTGAGTGAGGTATCAATGTTAAAGTACGGTCGTTTCAACTTACTGATCCAGTACCATTGAACCATCATATAACCTGTGAGGATCCATGTTAGAATTGTTTTCAGCAATCCATGCTTGTCGTAAAAGGCGACTAATGGGATCGGGTGGTCAGGCTCGTTTGACACACGTCATCGTATCTCAGTTTCGTATATCGATGGTCATGATGTTGATCACTCAATTGTGTGGTCTAGACTCGATTATTTACAGACCGGGACCATATAGCTTGAATATTGCTGTGCACAGCGTTTAACAAAATAACCGAGACTGAAATTGAACCATCATCTGCCTAATTTTAATTAGTGCAACAGCCCTAAACACGAGATTAAATCCCACCTCTCCTAACCTTGTGTAGTACAGTTATTTTTCCACACTATGTTTGTCACTGCCGGATCATGCTACTCTTTGTTCTCAACAGTCGTAATGCATGAGCCTAAGTTACAAGTTCCACTCATCACTGAACTCTGTTCAAGGTCTGTGTATTTTCTCTTTGTCTCCAGCACATGTGTAATCACAATCAGTCAGGTTGGCTCCGATACAAGAAATTGCTTCTCCTCAGATGAACTTAACAACCAGATCCAGACTGAGATAAACAAGGTGTATCCGTTTGTCGTTGGCGTGGTGGCTGGCCTGATGGTTGCTGCTGTTGTTGTAGCCATTGTGTTGGCTGTCAAGTAAGACATTGCTCGTGTTTCTCTTGTGGACAGTAAAATACTCTATCTCGTCAACAATGGTTTGATATCATGTTAACAATGGTTTGATATCATGTCAACAATGGTTTGATATCATGTCAACAAGGGTTTGATATCATGTCAACAAGGGTTTGATATCATGTCAACAATGTTTGATATCATGTCAACAATGGTTTGATATCTCGTCAACAATGGTTTGATATCATGTCAACAATGGTTTGATATCATGTCAACAATAATTTGATATCATGTCAACAATGGTTTGATATCAAATGGAAACGTATCCATCTGTTTAGTAAATCAAACTTAAATTACTTTAACCAATTCCTTCAAATGGTGGAAGTGTACTTTTAATGTCTAACTGAACACAAGTGCTTAATTTGTAAATGTAAACACATTATAATTACATACTTTTGTAAACATGTTTTCAATAAAGGTACTGATTCACCACGTATGGACATCAAAACATCATGCGGAAGGCAGCATCATAATCATAAGAATGTCTATTTCATATCCAGACTACGCATGTCCAGGAAGCTATTAAGTCAACTATACTGCACCAACACCGTGCTTTCATCCAAGGTGGATGACAATGGGCAGCGCATGCGCTATGCTAGATCAAGTGTTGACCGCGACTACCGAGAGGCACGGCCGTACACAAGCATTGCTGATCTGAGCGAAATAGTGAGTCATTAGCCTGTCCAACTAATGTAATGAAAGTGGCAAGTAATTCACCTGTGATGTGGATCGAATCAGAGTAATGAGTAACTCATCTGTAAAGCTAATCGGATAAAAGTAATACATACCTCACCTGTATAGAGTAATTAGAGTAATACTGTAAGTGTTTTACCAGCATAGCGTGTCAGATGAAAGTACTAAGTAATTCACTTGTATAACGGAAGACCCAAAGTTAGAAATAGTACATACGTACAGCTGATCTGTTGTGATGTGATGTGATGTGAAGTGTAATATTTGATGTGATGTGAAGTGTAATATCACATGTGAATCTGAACTGATAAATATACACACTTAATGTAATTCCCCTTTATCGCTGACCTAATCAATGTGTGAAAAAAACTTTGCAGCTGATCTAATCGAAGTTTTAAGACTTCGTAATTTACCTGTATATCTGATCGAATTAAGGTAATAAGCAGTTCACATGTATAACTGATCTGATCAGAAGTATAAAATTAAGGTAATCCCCATATTTAGCTGATCTAATCAACGTTTTACGTAATTCCCCTTTATAGCTGATCTATTCAAAGTTTTAAGTAATTCCCCTTTATGGCTGATCTAATCAAAGATTTAAGTAATTCACCTGTTTAGCTGATCTAAGTGAAGTTGTAAGCAGTTCACATGTATAGTTGATCTGATCAACGTAACTATTCAAAGTAATACGGAATTCAGACAGACAAACTACTGTGTCGATTTCAGTTAACGTAAGGTGCTCACATTTCTATTGAATCCACATCTCATTTGTTCCAGTTTTACATTGACGGTACTACCAACATACTCTCATGTCTATTGAAACCACTTCTCGTTTGTTCCAGTTTTACATTGAGGATGGTTCCCTGAGCAAGACGGGTACCACTCTGCGAAGGTAAGGTGGAAACACGCGGACAAAATAAAACCTTACATAAGTTGTCACCCAATGCATTATTGGGAATAATTAATCTATTTCATTATTTCGTTCAACTCACGTGATGAGGTAACAAACTTATGTCACCGTATTCATAGGAAAAGAAATGCCATTGTTTGATCTGTCCACCGAAATATTACTTTGTATGCCTATTAAGTCCTCTTCAACGACTTAACACTTCATCTGATTCCAATAGTTTAATTGTCCCCCGCCGCAACACGGAACGTGGAACTATGTATTCAGCGGCGTCTGTACGTCCGTCCGTCCGTACGTACGTCATCAACTGTTGTACCCAATGTCTTCAAGTATGTCGACAGCCTACATTGGGTGATTATGATGACACCAGTCATTTCAGGCATCTTGTATGTGACCCCCCTATAAAAACTTGTAAATGTGTTATAAATATTCCATTCTTTAGCGGCGGGGGACATTGCCATATTAGTGGCAAACACTTGTTTTACTTTGCATTACATAGCGCTGAGAAACTGTTCCGTGTTTTTTGTGTATACCTAGCTACTAATTATACTACAAAATGTCAATGTCAGAAAATATTCAGTCTCGATTATCGTCAGACACAGAGTTGTCTTAAAAAGCAAAACTGACGGACATAAAATAGATTTAAGAAGAATCAGTGATGTTTAACCGCCATCACCTCTTTTGAATTTGGCCCAAAACAGATTTGTCTTCAAAAGCAAACCAGTGACAGATATAAAATAGATTTAACAAGAATAAGTGATATCAAACCATCACTACCTCTTCTGCATTTGGCTATATTTATCACTTCCAGTGACATTATGAAATCGTATTAGATGTGCATACGTTCAACCCATTGTTGCAGTCACACGTACAGCGATGCTGACCCAGACTACGAGTCGATCCAGAACGACACATGTGGAAGATACAAGGGGCATCTGTAGTGTGTTCCAGTGTTCAGTCAAGACAATATCCATGTGTTGTGTGCGTGAGTTAAGGTTTACGCCGTTTTTAGCATTATTCCAGAAAACATCACGGCGGGGAACACCAGAAATGGGCTTCACACATTGTACCCATTTGGGAATCGAACCCGGGTCTTCGGCGTGACGAGCGAAAGCTTTAACCACTAGGCTACCCCACCGCCCCCATGTGTTGTGTGTGACATGTGTATGCATGACGTAACATTCCAGGGGGAGCCTGATAATGGTACACTACCCAATCTACCCAGGTACTCCAAGAAAGTATTTGGAGGGATTATGTCGGTATTGTGTATTGGTTATCTCCCTGAGGTGACATCTGCAAAGCCATGTTTGACTAACATCATTAGAATGTTAAACAAACATATGCCATGCACGTTAAACAGTTATAGGGTGCAATGGATGTGCAACATTTAAAACGACGCACTGATTAGCTTTGGGAGCCATAGGTCAAGCTTGATATAAATTCATAATGTCTTTATGTCTTTCGTCTTCATGACTTGCAATAGGTATATTCATTGCTTCTTGTCACAGGGGGTGTGGGTGGGGGTTAGTGGGGTGTAGTAAGTATCTCTGAAAATACACAGATCAATGAGAGGTTAGGGATGTTATCAGCAGAATTGACGTTATCACATTTTTCATTACCGTAGTCTACTTCGTTTATAACCTCGTAAGTGAAGCGCCGTCACTGAAGGAATGTAAAGGTCCAATCCATATCACACATACTTTGCCTCAAATTAACTTTTTAATAGGAGAGACATCTGACGTTAGATGTGACAAGAAAAGATCCTTGTCTAATTAAGTTAACAGATTAACATGATTTGTCGAGTGTACTACAACAAGTGCTGAAAGTTCAGAAAACGGGGAATTTTCTTTCCCTGAGAATATTGCATGATGGCTTTGTATTTAATCACGTACGTACGATATTCTGAAATAAAATATAAAATTGTATTTGTACTGTGAATGACTCACAATCCAACTTCGACACAATGAGCTAAGATTCATTCGTGAAATTTGATATATTTCCAAATCAAATAATGTAATCATGTTGCAATATCTCATCGTTTCCTTGTATTTCAATGGAATCCATAATCAGATTGGGATCCCATATAGCAGCTCGTAGAAATATGTGCTGGTGAACGGCGTGTATTAAAAAGTATTATGTTCCTCAGCGACAGACTATCCATCTAAAATATGTCTGAAAGATGGATAGAGAGGCAATGAATGAAAGCTCTTGATGGTGTCACCCCCAACACAAACACACATGTAATAGGATTACTTGTAATTGTTAAAAACACAAATGGGAGATTCAGTCTGAGCTTCCAAACATTGAAGCATTCTTATAATACCACAGTGCCTCTCTCAGTCCATTTGTCAATTTCCTGGTACGTTTCAGAGTGACACCATTGACGAGATGACGAGTGAGAAGTGTGTAAAATGACCGTCCTTGTAAGATGGCATGCTGATATCACACATCCTGGCCACCTGTTCCACAAGATGCATAGAGAGGACGTTGATAATCTTGATTGTATGCATTGATAGAGGGAAATCGTTCGTAGTGAAGTGTATTTCCATTATTGTCTAGGCAGCGAATGAGAAAAAAATTCAAAATTAGCGATTATTTTTATTACCAAAGAGAATGGAATACTGCTGTCAGATCTGAAGTTAAGATCCATGTGAAACGGATTTTCAAACGAAGAACAAGGGATCCTACCACTGCAAAGAGACGCAAATTTACACGGGTAACAAATTGCAGAACCTAACTGAAAACACTCGGTCTTACGAGATCATTAGAATTCATTTAGCTGTTGTAATCTGAGATGAGATAACTCTCAAAGCAGTCGTAAAAAAACACATTCACTGTTGTTCTGATTGTGAGTGAGTTTAACGCCGCACTCAGCAATATTCCAGCTATAGCGGCGGTCTGTAAATAATCGGGTCTGGACCAGACAATCCAGGGATCAACAGCATGAACATCGATCTACCTAACTGGGATACGATGACATGTGTCAACCAAGTCAGCGAGCCTGACCACCCGATCCTGTTAGTCACCTCTTAGGACAAGCATGCGTTATCGAAGATCAATTATAACCCGGACCCTCACGGGTTGTTCTGATTGTAACATGCATTTGTACAATCACACTGTCTTGATTCCCCTATGTTGTTAACGCCCAAGACCATCACCGAATTGTACTTGTCCCACTTGATGACCAGATAGATATACAGAGAGTACAATCTATTACATATTAGGACTGTTTCCGTATCGTTTATTCGGAATAACTACTGCACTGTCGAGCCACTGTTGACATGTACGATACAAACATCACATGAAACTACTGATCCTTGAGTTATTAGTATTATGTCATTGTATGTTTAGAAATAATAATAATAATAATAATAATAAGGCCACTCGTACATGCTCAAAGCGCGTACAAGATGAAGGACATAATTACCCCGGATAGCCCAAGCTGCCTCTGATGGGCTCGATGGTTAATAGTCATATGACTTATCCCAACTGGTACCCATTTTCTGCTCGGTGAACAGAGGCAATTTTGAACAAACTCACTTGCGTAATGTGAGACCACATGACCAATGAATGTTTGATACAGGACGTGTGTTCACTCAGTAAGACAGCTTAAAACCGCGCATGGATATTGTCTTATGAGTTGGCTCCCGTACCCCAGCTCACCACGCTGGATTTATTAGTTAGTTGGGTATTGTGAAAAAAGGCATTGCATGATTCTCAAAAACCGTTCCTTCAAGGGAACCTTACTTGCATACTTATCGGATCATGAGTATCCTTCTATGCTAAAACCAAATAATTCAAGGTTTGTCCACGCTAACAGCTTAGCGGTGTTTCTGTGTTTCCAATTGAAAACAGCGAAAGAGATCAGTCATTCATCTCCAGCAAACCGATCAGCAGCTAATGCTGCAAAAAGATGCAATGAAAGATCGATGGTTGCAAGTGACAGTTCCAAGTTCAAGCTACGTTCAATTGGGTTACTATGTTCCATTATAATGAAGTCGGGTTAGTTCGTTTCCCACGTGAGATGACCTAACAATACATCCATGTGACCTAGTTATTACACCTTGATGAACCTAATTAGATTACTGTGCGTATTTCTAGGACAAGGGGTCTCTCCACTGTTTACAAAATAATCACATACACTTTAGTGTTCTGTAGACATTACATAGCATTGGTGTTCATGATATTTTATCAAATAATTTGGTTTAAAAACTCATATAAACATTCGATATGAGGTTAAAAACTTCAAACAACCTAGAACTTAATCATAATAAGCAGGGATGTTGACATTTCAAATAAATACATCTCTTCTGAATGAACAAACGTTCTTTCAACTTGTTTTAATAAAGCACACAGGACGCCTTGGCCTTTGTAGTGAATATTTACAAGCCTCAGGCACAGCTGTTCTCGCGCTGCCAACATGGATTATAAATTTTCGGAAATGGCAATTAATACTCTTCACGTGACTATCTGTGTGATTAGTACCTGATCTATTTCGAGTTGTCCCTTTAATCTAACCAGAACGGAATGCGAGTGCATATGGTTACTTCCTACGCTTTGTGAAATTTGATCTCATTCACACGTTATCCATAAATAGGTACGCCTCGTCAAATTGAATCTGAATGTAATTCAATTTGAACTTTTTGTTAATTCCGGTTGCAAGTACCGCTGGTATGAATACTCAAGTGATAGACGTCGTATCAAGCATGATTAGTAGGAAATTTGCATTGTTAGTCCGATACTGTCCGTTTGTCATTTTTAGTTGTTGCACCCTGTCTCCACTACTCCAAACACTCTAAATTTCACTTTCACTTTCACTGTTACAATATTAGGAGTGGGCCATCAATTGCAGGAAAGGCAGTAGCTGGTATGAATACTTCAGTGATAGACGTCGTATCAAGCATGATTACTAGGATATTTGCATTGTTAGTCCGATACTGTCCGTTTGTCATTTTTAGTTGTTGCGCCCTGTCTCTATTACCCTAACAAACACTCCGAATTTCACTTTCACTTTCACTGTTACAATATTAGGAGTGGGCCATCAATTATATCATTTGGTTAGGGCACACTACCAAGACGTTTTCAATCTGAGCTACACTGAATATTCAACCTTGCATATTTAAATGTAAATATCAGTCAGGATGACTTTGGTTTCACCAGTACTGTTTATATGCGTTTATAACCTATTTAGAAAACAGTAAAAAACTACTTTATCAATGTTAACCCAAAATTACACGAGTTTTATTTCGATTAGGACGTTTCTGACAAAGACAAGGGGTTACCTAATCGATTGATTTACAACAGAACACAAATTATATTTTCGCAGTCTTTCACATGGCCTGTCACAAGCCACGTGGAAACAGCTTTCGCACCAAAGAAGCTATTATCCCATTGAATGAATCTTTATCAAAGGGAGATCTGCATTCTCACAACGCCAAAGTTATGTTCAAGAGCCGATCAATATATTTCTGACTGTCCGCTGCTGTTGTTAAAAGTGCATATGAATGATATAGCTGCCATTGAATTACTAAAACACTAATACGTAATCCTCAGCTTGAAACCGACGATGGGTATCCCAAAAGTTCCAGCCTCACCATGAACGGATCGCACAAACTCAAAAAACTCGCCATTTATCTGGAACAGTGTCTCATCATGTGCCTGACATGCATAACATGAATTCCACATGCAATAATCTGCTATATATATATTACCCTATCAGTTGCTCTGAAAATGGAGAGAACGAATGCAGGGCTGTTATGAAGTATCTTCATTTTAAAAAGTTTACGCCATAGTACATTCATGATAACACACACAATAGGTGACAATGCTTCTTCGTATAGTACGGTCAAACAGTGGTGTGCTAAATTTACAAGGGGGAGGCGCAGCACCGAAGACGAACCACGGTCTGGTCGCCCTCGTGAGGTGACTGCCAAAGAAAACATTGGTGCTGTTCTCGACACAATAATGAAGCACAGGTGACTAAATGTTAGGCATAAAGCTACTGCAAAACATCAGTAGAACGAATAATCCATGAACATTTGCACATAAACAAGGTGTCTGCCTGTTGGGTGACCGGAATGTTATCCGAAGAACACAAACGTAATAGTTTGTCGTCAGATACTCGAGGACTTTTGGAGAGGTCCACCCTCTGTCATGGGTCATATTATTACTCTAGATAAAACCTGGGTTCATCACTTTGACAAAGACAAATAGTCAAATTACACAGTGGAAACACCAGTAACGTCACCAACGCCCAAAACGTTTAAATGAGCATCTTCCAGTGGCAAAGTCATGGCCTCCGTTTTCTGGGACTCTGAGGGCGTAATCATGATAGACTGTTTAAAGACGAGTTGCACAATAGATGGTGCATTTTATGCTGATGAATTGCGTAGGTTTCGTGATCAGATCAGAGAAAAGCGCCGAGGTGTCTGACTCCTCCAGGACAATGCTCC